TCGAAACGTCGGGTATTTACTTAAAAGTGAAATATACGCGATAAATTATATTCATTGGGCTTTGCAGTGAACTATAACCATAGCAGCGATCACAATAGATCTTTTGGGTCGCAGTGATACTGGTCTTTCTAGACCTGCATAGCTGCTCGCAAAAAAGCTATGCAGTCTGCATCTATGGATTTACCAAGTGTCGTATTGTTTGAAATTCTTGTCAAAAGATTGAAATAGTACCGAGCCTTTTCATCTGCTCTAATAACAGATAGATCCATTTTTAACCCATCCCGATCCAGAAGAAAGAAAATATTATTTGTGCACGAAGCCGTAGGCGAGACACCAACTGATTCTAAGGAATTGTTTAAAATGAACGTTTTTTACCCTGTGATCGATACAAATAAAAAGTGCTTTGGGTTACTTGACCTAAACTATCGAAATTCTAAGAGCCAGAAAGCTGGCCATCTACGTTTTTCATTAAGTTTGTTGTTGGTAGTTCTTTTGTCTTTTTTAACACTGTCTGCAGAGCAACAGTTTAAATAAAGGTTGTCAAACAAGAATATTAACTCTTATAATGAGAAATAATCTGTACAACTAGTCACCGCAGCGAGGCAAGCACAGCGGCGTTGTCGAGCGCAACAGAGTAGTGCGAACGGGATGGACATTTCTTTAACGTGAATAAGCTGAACAAATGCTATAGCAAGAGCGACAGACACAACGTTTCTTGCCCCGCATGTACACCTGTAGATATTTGATAGGTCTAATCATATTTAAAATCACGAAAAAGCAACTGCATGATATAGGAATGGTATAGGTTTTGTATTTAGAGGGGCGCCACTATGAGATCTCGCACCACCAAAAATTTTTGCTAGGGCCGCGATTGACCAGAACCAAACCAATATATGTGGCACACCGTAACTAAAATTAATTAAAGTAATGAAATTGTGGTTTTTAAGTTTTAGGAGTGTATAAACAATTGGGAGCGCTGAAAAATAATTGATTTTCAAAGGGGGCGGTAAAAGAAATAATTTTGATAATCTCTGATATATCTGTAGGTACCTTATATTATTCAAATAGATTAGAATGATATTGTCACCAAAACCATCATCTCATGATTCTTTCTTTCTTCCTCATCCAATCCCTCATATCCCTCATATCATCTAGGCGTGTGGAAAACCATTATAAATAATTCGAAATAAAATTACCATTTTCATTGATACATGTTTATTTTGTGTCATGAACTCATGAAACAAGAATTTTGAAAATCATATTAATTAATCAATAAAAGTTTAGGCCGAACACATTAGGTCGGTCTTTATGACATAGGCCACGTCAACAAAAATGTGAAAAATTACAATCAAATTAAATATTACAACAACCGACTACAAAACAAAAAATAATAATAAAAAACAATATTCAATAAATTACTTACTATCAATTCAATTTACATATTAAACTCGATTATACGCAGTTTAGAAATAATAAAAAATCATCGATACTTATGTAAAATATACATTAGTCTATACACAATTATATCAACAGTAAGTGTTATGCAAAAAAGTGCGATCATTGTCATATTTATATTTTTACTAACAGTTAAAACGAACAGCAGTTATGCAATTATAAACCTTATTTCATATTTCAAACATTTTATAAATCCCGAACCGAAAAAAAATAATTATTAAATACGAAATTAATGCTATTATGTTAAAAAATCAAGTTGTTTTTCCCGTATACAATGCTTTGATAAAAAGTAAATTTGACATTATGTTATACGACATTAATAACATCTTTAAGACTACTGAAATAAGGTATTTAATTGCTTAATTACTCAAACAAATTGGCCATGGAAGCGACTTGGTCAAAATTTTATAATTACATAATTGTAGCTCCTATGGACAATTTACAATCTACGATCGACATTATTTACTACCTCTATTTATTTTTAGTTGATATTTTTGTAGCTTTACAATTAGCCTTTTACCGATAATAAAGTACTTGGCATAAAATAAAGAAAGCTATCTATATAATTTTCATAGATAATTAAACGTGTTTTTACTTCGTTATGCATTTCAAAAAGTATTGCCACTAAGTATCGTTATCAGCTGATTAATATTTTAGAATATTTTAAATTTTATTCTAAATAATTTTCGTGCAAATAAGTTTTACACAGAAAGCTGGTAACAAATCTTTGATGATAATGTACCTATAAAAAGTTAAAAGCTAAATTCTGCTAAAATAAGTAATAAAACTTACTTTTTCAAGTTTTGAGGTACCGTACGATCAGCTAGACTAGATATTATTTCAAATAAGCCTGGAAGCTCGCTAGTGTACACTTTCTATAGTTTTTGTCAAGAACGAAATCTCAAAATATTGCAACGCTAAAACCATACAAACTGTTGTTATGTACAATCATTACAGTACAATATATAAAAATGTCTAAAATGTAACTAGGTGCAATAAGATATTGAGTAGGCTTTCATATTTTGTATACTTTTCTAAATACACCCATGATTAAGATAACGCACCTATGTCATATTATATGTAGGGTAGTAATTTTGATAGTGGTCGTGACTTTTCTCTTTACCGACTACGGCAAAGGAAAGGGGTTATCAGCAGTCTATTCACAGTATATGAATATAGTTTTTAATTTGTATCATGTCTTTGATTAAAGATGTATTGCAAATTCAGTTAAGGTTTCTATTTAATTTTTACTTCAAACACTGTTTTTACATTTATAGCTTAGTATATGTCAGCAACATTTATTAAATATAAGTTATTTAATTTCACATTTTTTATATTTATTTCTTAATTCTTCGAATTTGGTTCAAATTAGGAATGAAGAAATTGAAAACTACATAATTATTGAATGTACTACAGTGTAGTTTTTGTCATTATTGTTTTCTGTATTGAAAGTAGGTTGGGTATTAATCTATTAATGAAAAAAGAATTATATGAAAATGAGATACTTAAAAAACATTTTAAAGAGATTACTTCAATAGTTCTAATATCTTTTTTAACATTCTGTACAGTTTATATAAGCTATGTTTCAGTTTAAAATACATTAGCATACTAACTAAAACACTTATCTAGTTAGCACAATAAAAAACCACTTGAGATTCGTTGAAATTCTTATCGAAAATTGTCAGTCTAATGAAGTTCATGTAACCCCTATCTATTGATGTGTAACTTTATTTTGACTTCTACAGGTCTACAGCGGTGCCCTACAATTATTGTTACTAGCTTAAAATTTAAATGAAATTAAAATAAACAAACTTAAACCTTCCACTGTTATAACAAAAAAATTGATTAGCTAAGACATCACACATACTCAAAAAGTAAATTTAAAAAAATTCTCAGTCGACTAGCGGCCAATACTTTTATATTTGTATTTGTATAAAGTAAAAAATATACGTATAGAAACATACCTCCTGGAATATTTAAAGTATAGTATTCATACAAAATTGACCCCAGGTTAGAAAATATGCAGCAATCTATCGCCTACATTTCGGTTTGTGTTATGCATCTTACCGCTACATGTTCATCGACTACATAGCGTTTAATATACCCTGCACATAATGTGCACACGCTGATATTTTTAGTGACAGTTATTCTTTTTTCTAATTGACAAAATCGTCATCGTCGAAGATGTTATATTCTGTTTCATTCTATATACTGACCAGAAAAATAAAAATCCTTTCAATAAGGACACTTTTGAGCTAGTTATAACTATAAAGAAAGTAAAAAAAAGTTACGTAACTATAAAGAGCATGCCTATAAATGTATCATTATAGTCATATAAAATAGTCATGCCTACACACTGGCCTAAAGATGTTTTTGTGAATTTGGTACTCGTGATCGAGGCCTTAGTTAGTATTATGCCGTTTTTAATGTATTTATTTCAATTAAATCTGATAAAAACATTTTTTTTGTTAAATCTGACAGAAACAAGTTGGATCTTCTAATTCAAATAGCCTTTATTTCTAATAATATTCTACATTTGGAGAATTATTAGTATTGAAACATTTTATAAATTATTGTACTTTTGTAAATTATTGATATATTATATTTTGTGATAACAATTCAATTTAATCGTCGACATCGATAACGTTATTACCAGCTTGCCATTTGGCATCGGACACGTTGTAACTTATTAACTATAAAATCAAAAATCTTTGGACATGATTGCACTCTGGTTAAATAACAAAATGTAATTTTTATCAAATGTTTTTGATGTTGGAGCAAACATTAATAATTTTATTTTTCATACTTAATTGATTAGTTATTAATTTAATAAGTTTTGCTTAAATTGCGGGAAGGGAGGTGCACTTCTAACTAGGTGCAATTGTTTTTCTTGTGGATCTTAGCTAATTAACTCTAAGTCTGTCTTTAAATTCAGTACCGACTTATTAACAAATAATTTAGAGGTCCGTTCTTGTTTTATCCACGCGTGCCTGTGGCTTATATTACTGTGGTGTGTACACTATGTTCATTAAATTATAAAATTTTGGTAGACCCTCTAAGTAAATATAGATTTAGATTAACTTGTATTCATAGGTATTTTATTTAACCGCTTGGGTCCTTTGTAAACGATAACCGCAATATGGGCAATGCAAAAAAGTTCTCGGTCGGGCTAAACTCAAGATTTGTCACTAAAATATCAACCTGTACATGGCTATATCTAAATCGGCGTTTTAACTGTAAATAATACATTCACACATAGAGATTCGAGACCAAGCAGCCGCTTTAGCTACCGTCCAAAATAAGGCAGACAATGAACACTAAGAAAACTATAGCCAATTATATAAAAAAGGCTGAATCGTTAATCGCTACAAAATATGAGGTATATTTAGAATTATTTATATCCTTTCGATAAATCACCAGCACGTTCTAATCATTGAAATTTACCGAAAAACCCTTTATTACCGCAACCAACTCTATAAGTGTGAGTCGCAAATACTAATCTATACTCCTAATAATAGAGTCCATTAACACATGGCGATTTAAGATCACGCGACGCCGCTATCTTGAGTGTGGCTTCTCTTTTTTTCGCTTCTGTGATGATCTGGGGTCGATTTTAATATGTCTGGTTGACCATGGGACAACACTCTGGCTTCGACGTGTTGGTTGAAAGTGGACGTGTGGGAGCTAAGGGTCAATGTTGCGTTTCTCTCCGAGCCCAGGGTCATTGTTGTGGCGTGGGAGTTTAACGTGTTATGTCCGGTGGTGTGGTGGGTGTGATGGGACTGGCTTAAATGGTGAGTGTGGGGAAGAGTGGAGGGGCTCGAATGTGGGAGGGTGGAAGTCGGTTTGCGTATTGAGCGGTGGCTTCCGTTGCGCGTTAGGGAGTTCATTTGGGGCGTGCCGGGCCCCCCTGTTCGGAGTAGGGCGTTTTTGTAATCCGCAATAAGGTGCGTTAATTCCACCATCTGGAAATAAATATTTTTAGGTGTAATATTTTTTAAAGTCTTATTTAGTCGTGTAATAGCGGCGTAAGAAAATCCACTACCCCATAACCCTTCAATCCCCATAAAATTCCCATGCGGTCAAATTCCCTGGTAAATCCCGAGCGGTCGCATGAGATCGCACCCACTCACATCACTTAAAACCATTAAAACTTATATTTAGAGACTACTTTTCTATGAAGAAGTTTGGCATTAGCAGGGTGGGTGCGGTCAAATTTGGACGCTTGGCGTTTAAGGCGATAATCACGCCATGGGTGCTGTAAGAGGCGACAGAGATAAAGTGAATTATATATCCTTGAAATAGAGTTTATTATACAAAAATGCAGGTTCAGTCACGACGTTTTCCTTTACCACCGGGCAAATGTTAGACCAAACCAAACCTTAACATTACAACTAACTATCTAATGGATGGCGGCGGGGATCGAACCCAGATTGCTTACTCGCCATGGAATGTACTGTGAGCGCTAGCCTTTGAGCTACCACAGCTGCATAAACAATATATTTTATTTCACTTTTTACAAATAATCACCTCACAATACATAAATGAGATATTCTTTTTTAATTCTCAGAGGTGAGATGGAGGTGTCCATGGACCACAGCATCTACTTAACATAAGATGTAATGGAATATTCATTGGTCACCCTTTCCTTGTATGAAACACTACCATATACTTTTTACTCGTACCTTACTTTCCTTTTTTTTTATTATATGCTTATTCCATAATAAATAAATCGCGCCAAAATAACATTTGTAACGCTTTCCTATATGATTATGATTTTATTTAGTAATTGTTTGTAAAAATATAGTACCAGACTAGGAAAACAAAGAGACTTACTTTTGGTTTGTTCAAGCTGATAAGCATTTTGTGTACAGGACTCGTTGCGTCTTCCGCGTCGATAAGCATCATTAAATCGTCCTGAACAAAAGGATAATTTTTTTTATTAATTTTTGCATTGTTACCTTTTAGCTTCGTTAGGTGAACAGCGAGCTAGTTTCTTAGAATAATGTAATAGAAAAAAGTAAACCTGCAGTCCGCCGAAGAGTCCGATGCAGTTGAGCGCGTAGCGCGCGATAACGCTCATGGAAGCCAGCTCCAGCACCGTCACGCCCTCCTCCGACACCGCCAGCCACACCAGCGACAGGTCCGGCTGCTTAATCTGCCAACACAGCCACTACTATTACACCCAAATTCATAACGCGGTAATAACAACTCTATCTTCTAAACGTCCGCTCACCAGATGTTGGGACTAAGGTGTAGGTTTGACTAACACTCAATGTCATTTATTAGAGAAGTTGTGTTTAAAATTAAAGTTTGTCGGTTTCTAGAGTCAACAAAACAACTTCTCAGTAGTTTTAACTAGAGTAAGAAGTTTCATGCACTATCAAGCAAGAAGAAGTGAATGGAAGAGTCGGAAAGGGACGTCCTAGGCGAAAGTTTGTCGACCAAATTGGCGATATATTAAAAATGGGTCAAATTAAGAGACCTTTAACCGACAAGCATGTCATCATCATCATCATTACAGCCCTTCACAAGTCCACTGCTGAACATAGGCCTCCCCCAAGCAATGCCACAAAGCACGGTCCTGAGCCACCTGCATCCATCGACTTCCTGCATGTCTTACCAGGTCGTCACTCCATCTAGTGGGGGGTCGCCCTACACTACGCCTACCGGTACGAGGCTGCCACTCGAGAACCTTTCTTCCCCATCGGTTATCGGTTCTTCGAGCTATATGGCCGGCTCATTGCCACTTCAGCTTACTAATCCGTTGGGCTATGTCGGTCACTCTGGTTCTGCTGCAGATATCCTCATTCTTGTTTGAAGAGAAGCCCTTTTCAACTCGCGGGCTCGAGTTCCTGGCAGGGGGTGGTTGTAAGTGTGGGGTGTGTTTTTTTGTGGTTGGATGTTGACTCGGATATCCTCATTTCTGAGTCTACACGCAAAGAAACTCCGAGCATAGCCCTCTCCATAGCTCGCTGAGCGACCTTGAGCGTCCTCATACGGCAGCAGTGACAAGCATGTATGCGTAGGTATATGGATGTGGAGGAGACGAAAGAAGTATGTCAGGATCGTGCTAAATGGAAGTCTGTAGTCTCTGCCTACCCCTCTGGGCGACAGGCGTGAGTGTTTATGTATGTACTTTTTATTATTTTACTTTCAGAAATATCTGCAGTATGATATATGCATTTTTATTTAATTAATATAAAATACTACTAATATTTCAGAAAGAAACATTAAACGTTATATTTTTCCTAACAATTTAACTTTCCCTCTATGAAATCTGCCAAAAACTTCACCTCATTCCAAAGTAGCGCCACCCTGGTGGCAGAAAAAGTATTGTGAATGCCCATTCGTTTGTACTGCTGTAATGCTCTATAGCCAAATTCATTATGCGATAATTGCTGTACTATGCTTAATACTTTATGTATAAAAGCACGCGTTTTCAAGTAGGGTTCGTTTTAAGTTCAATATTTATTTTATTATAAAATATCCGATACCAATATAACCAATATTATGTCTACAAAAGGTGCTAATTTCATTATTTTATGCAAACGCGCAAAAACTACACAAAATCTATAAGATATTTGCGGCCGAACCTGCGCCTCGTAAAGTTGCAGGCGGTGTGCCGGCTGCAACTTTATCTACTGAGCACGCCAAGCTTTTTAGGGGTCCATTTGGCCTTCTTTTCCAAGTGACCACGAAACTGCACGTCATTCGATATGTCAACGCCGAGGACTCCGATACTGGCTAAGGCAACAAGGGAAGTGCCTTGAAACTGAGGAGATACTACAAAGTTAAAGGGTTCTTTTAGCGGTAAACGCTCAAACTTGTGTCTTTTGGGGAATGAACTGGACAAGATTTATTTTTAAGTTTTTTTTTTAGTTAACTTACTATTATTTTGGTCCCAACTTTGTTATATTCTTGGTTTAAAATAAATTATTTCAATTTCACCCTCTAAAAATATAAATAACACGGACATTTCCTTGCCCTAAAACCCTCTCAGAAATGAGAGGAGGCCTGTGCCCTTCAGTGGGATGTATATGGGCTGTAAATTTTTTACTTTAATGCATAAATAAGCATAGGATTGTAAACATTCCTCTTACACCGTGTTATTTTATATTATATTGTTATAAAAGATCATTTTCACTGCAGGAGTCAACATACCAACTTAGTCCAATTTTGAGGTTCTCAATCGTTTCTTATGCATAAGGTTTTCATTAGAAACATTTTTGTATGACTATTATGCTTTTTAGTCAGGTTGGTAACTGCAATACCAGTGTACATCAAAACACAAATATACATACGCATTAAATATCTGTTATATAATACATTTGTATAACTTACCCTCGCTTGGAAGAGCGTAGCCCCAAAGAAAGGCCATTTTCTTGTGCAATTGAGGTAGATTCGAACGCAGTCCGCTGTACTACGACCCTTTAGCGCGAGCCATTTTGACTTGAGCTTCTCTTCGACATCCCTAAAACAGTAAATTCAATTTATTATTACTTTAAGGATACAAAAACAACCATTATAACAAATTTAAATAGTGAAAAAATTACATATTCTTGGTATAAAATTTAACTGAAATCTTTCTATGACCCTATCCTTAGCCTGTCATGTTTAGAACATATTATTATCATATTGTTTCGTGCAGGGTGAGTAAAAATACCAATTAGGATGATAAACCTATGTATGGTTTATGTATTCACATACAGCAAGTGTGTGCGAGAATGCGTGTGCATGCGTGTGTGTATGCATACGTACGTGCGTGTGTATGTATGCCGTGCGTGAGAGCGTGTAAGCGTTTGTATGTATGCGCGTGCCAGCATGCGTGCGAGCGTGTGTGTGTATGCGTATGTGCGTATACGTGTGTGTGTATGTATGTATATGTAAGCGTGCGTGCTTGCGTGAGGACCTTATGACCACAGATAAGTCTTATTTGTAGTATTGTTATGTACACATATACACACTACATAAACTTTCAACTCTAGACTGATTTCCCATACATTGATGATGATGTATGTAAATGCTATTGGAATATGGATACAACTAACTTTCATTACAATATTTCGTATGTTCGCGTATTTTGATGTAGAAAAGGAAGGCATGTCTTCTTCGTTTAAAGTTGTTTGTCCATAAGTCGCAGTAGCCACTTACCATTGGGACGGTAAGTTTTATTAAACAAAAAATGAATGAATGAGTTACCGCAGCTGTTCATTGGTGAGGCCGGCGCGGTAGCGGTAGGGGTAGAAGCGGTGCGCGAGCGGCTGCGAGTGCGCGCAGTGCGCGGGCGTGCAGTCATCAGCGAATATTTTAGAGCAGTACTTACCGCAGCTGTTCGTTGGTGAGGCCGGCGCGGTAGCGGTAGGGGTAGAAGCGGTGCGCGAGCGGCTGCGAGTGCGCGCAGTGCGCGGGCGTGCAGTCGCCAGCGTCCAGCTGCGCCATCAGCGCGCCGAGCTCCGCCGCCAGCTCGCGCGTCACCGGGAACCTCCCCGCCACCACTGCCACAAAAGCGTTCAATTAAGGACTGCTCGCACGTACGCAACGTATGCAACACATTATGACATCTGGACTCCAATTTTGTACGAAAAACTATGCTCGAAATCACACACTTCTGATGCAACTAGCAATATTCGGCAAAAACGAAGCGATAAGTCTTTTAAGACAGCCCATAATGACTACTCCAATCACATCATAGTTCAAATCAGTTCTAGTAAATGGTGCTAGTCTTTCTAATATAGAAAACGCGATAGGCAAATGTTCTAACGTTTTAAATTATTGTATAAACATTAAATACAATACATTTCTTAGTGTGCGCAAGGTTGCATGATTTAATTCCTGCTTGCCCATTTCTGACCGTTCTCCCCTCTTCTAACTGTGCGTTGGCACGCATTCGAACCAAACGGTTTGCTCGTCCTTCATAATGCGTACAACAAAGAAGTGAAATAATTTACCAGCATCTATCTTTCCATCCGAGAATGAATGGGCTAAGTAAGTGCGCTTTACCATCTTTGACAGCATCACCATTTCACATCTGATAGGATAGTAGTTTAGCACTAGCTTACATATGTAGGTAAAAAACACTTCGTGAACGTAAGTTCGTGAACGAATAAAGACAGACGGAGCGCTGCGTAAATTTCAACTGACGCCGAAACCATGTTTAACTTGACACACATCTTTCTTTCTCCAACAGCCCGTAAAGTCAACTGCTGAACCTAAAACCACGTCGTTAGATGCAAATGATTTTAGATGCAAGTGTGTGCGTGAGTGCATGTTTTTACAATAAGTTGAGCATGATGTGGACGTCTCTCAAAATATATACAGCGCTATATATATCTTTCTTCGTTGGTGTGAATACGGGACACTTTTTTTCTGTCAAGGCACCCGACTAGGTGGATGTGGTATGTCTCCTGTCTTATTTATGTTTCTTCCGCCATAATTAAAAATAATAATAAGAGGACGATAGTGTTAACTTAAAACTGAACCATATATTCATAGACAGCTTGTTCATATCCGGCTCGAAGGACCAAAAATGATAAGGCTTCTTGTAATTAACTTTTATACTTGTTATACACCAAACTACTATTTAATTCAATACTTTATTGAAAGCTTTAGTTATTTGAGTCGTACAAGCTGTGGTTCGCTGTTAATTATGGACACATTAGAGCGTGAGTGGTGTTCAGTAACGACTAATAAAATTAAATAAAGTTGTAGACTGTATTATTGGCTTGTACGAACAATTTTATTCGTTTTGTGAAGATTTATCCTGAAAATTGTTGTATCGATTCTATATGAATTCCTTGTTGGAAAGCTAAATCATATTTAGACAAGAACATAATGCCAGTAACAAATTCAAATAGTAGAAATACGTAACGAATCAAGTATCAAACATCAAAAACGCAAGTTCCTTTACACACCTGCAAGGGAGCACACTGAATTGAAGTGTGTGAAGCGCAAGAAAACATATCAAGTTGGGGTTCAATCCGCGGTTTCAAACAAATAATTAAATAAAAAAAGTTGAATATTGCAACCATATACAAATAAAATTATACATACAAATTGTTTTAAAGAAACTTACCTTGCTGATTAATTTGATAGCAGAGCAACAGTCGCTCCTTGTCCGTCTCCGTTCGTACCGAGCTCTTGAAGTATAACCTATTCCGGTACGTAAGCCTTATGACGCGAGAGTTCTCGAATTTTCCAGAACCTTTCTCCCTAAGCGCCGTTTCCCATTTTGATATCACGTCGCAAAGCTACAAATATAGGAGGTTTCTAAGATTTACAATAACATATAATGTATAGCATATGACATAAGTAAAGTAAAGTTACAGCCTATATACGTCCCACTGCTGGGCACAGGGCTCCCCTCATTTCTGAGAGGGTTTTAGGGCAAGGAATAGTCCGCCGCGCTGCCCCAATGCGTGTTGGCGAACTTCACATGTCTTTGAAATATTTTTTTTCTTATTCCTCAGACATGTAGGTTTCCTGACGATGTTTTCCTTCACCGCAGAGCACGTGGTAAATCAGCACTTAAAATTGCAATTAATAATTTCATTGGTGCCGGCGGGGATCGAACCCGGATTACTTGCGTTCTGTTATATTTACGGCGAGCGTTAACCATCTGAGCTACCACGGCTTTTATAAATATGACATATATTTAAATAAAATGTAACATATAATTTAAAATAACATTTAATAAAAAAAATTGACATAAATTAAGTCAAAATGAAAAAGTGGAAAAAGATTCATATTATGTCATCAAATTAGTCAGGTCATGGTCGAAAGCTTTCCCGTAAACAGAATAGTAACAAAGAGTATTTGTAATAATTTTCACATCTGGCAATCACAGCACGCACCGATGACGGAAAGTATTGCCAAATGTGCCAAATGTGGCTTTCTGTCATCGGTCTGGGTACTTTAAATCTGATATAATTAATAATACCTTTTTATCGGGTTTAATGTGATGCTCTAGATCTTTTTCTATAGGGTCATCGCTGAACAACGCAAAACCGGAAGCCGCAGACTCTCTGCATCCCAGCTCCGTGCTGAGCGTTGATAGGAACTCCTCGACTGTGGTTGAACCGTCAAACCCTATTACCTGAAAAAAAAATATTTAATGTTGAAAAATGTACCTTATAAACGGGAAATAGAGTAAATGGGGCCCTGCACTCTATTGTGAAGAGTCAAAATGTGTCAAAAAAGGCACGTATGGCAATTCACAATGCTGTGTTGGTCCCTACTTTAACGTATGGTAGTGAAAGTTGGGTGTGGCAGAAGAAGCACGAGAGTAGAATCAACGCAGTAGAAATGCGGTCCTTAAGGAGTATGTTAGGGCTGAATCTGAATGACAGGGTAAGAAATTGTGTAATAAGAGAAGAATGTGGTTTGCAAGATGATGTTGTGACCAGGATTAAGAAAGGAATGCTTCGGTGGTTTGGTCAAGTGGAAAGAATGAATGAGGAAAGAGTGACAAAGAAAATTTATGTTGCAGAAGTGAATGGCAGAGTCGGAAAGGGACGTCCTAGGCGAAAATTTATCGACCAAATTGGCGATTTGTTGAAAACGGGCCAAATTAGGAGTACCCATAACCGACGAGCATGTATGCGTAGGTGTATCGATGATGTGAAGGAGGCGAGAGAGGTGCGTCAGGATCGTGCTAAATGGAAGTCTGTAGTCTCTACCTACCCCTCTGGGTGACAGGCGTGAGTGTTTATGTTTATGTACCTTAACCACGCATGCATGTACGCACGTACGCACGCATTCGTTTATTTAAGTATTTTTATAGACTAAGAGTGACAAACAAGCACATACTCCACCCGAAAGTCGGTGGATTCTGTGGCCCATAGACATCTACAATCAAAATGCAGAATGCGTTGTGACGACTAAAATAGGATGCCTCGTTTCCAGTAAAAAGGGTCTCTGGTTCTCTACATTTACCATTCGAAATACAGAAAGCATTAAGCTGCTATTTCACGCTGCGCTGGTATTATGTGAGCGCTTGGTCCTTCCGATACATTCGTGTTACAAACTATAACATAGCTGCGGCTCTACCACATATGATGAACCCACGCACGTTTTGTGTATAACATATTAAAATTAATTTAAAAGTAAATAAAGATGTACTACATAATTTACACCGTACAATCTACTACATAAATTATACATACATAATTTATATAATGCTTAAAAGCAAACTCCTTTAATCGTTGGTTAGCTGTTAGCATAAAGAATCTATTTTAATGTTGAAAATAAGGATAAAATGGTTTTTCACCAACCTGGTAAGTGTTATTAAGCATGTGTACGGGTATGGCGTGAGGCAAACAGTGGTGGTAGGGGTTCTTCAGCAGTATAGAGAGCACTTCCATACGCGATGGCTTGTCTTCGCGTCCGCCGTTGCGTATAGTACGTTCTAACGCGCGCGCACAATACGCTGCGTACTTGCCGCACTCCGTCCTGGAAAACAAATTACAAAGTCCAAAAACCTTCCTACATTCGAACTCGCAATCGCCCATCCCAAATTCTGTACAATAGTTCACATCAGCAGTTGTAGTTCTCATTAATAAAAATGTCTCACAACATGTTTTATGAGTCTTGTATATCTCGTTTTTTTTAAACAACCCAAAGCTGATGCAACACTTATTAATACAATCAAATGAAGACATTGTCAGTAGGGATGAAACGATAGTATTGAAATATCTTATATAATAGATTTTTATTTGTAAAATTTAGAATAAACAAAATAAAAACGGTAAAATTATTGATATTCTTTATCGATATACAAATATATGTCATAAAAATAAATCTATGAAAAAGTCCGTTTTTGTGGTTTTATTTGCTCGGGCATAGACTAACATGCTTGCCGACTACATATAACTAACAAAACTAGGACTAGGATGCGTTCGAAAATTTCAATATATGTTACCAAAAAAAACATGCGTGCAGCTCACACGCGACAGAAGTGAAACCTTCGAATGAAATGAAATATAAAATACAAATACTTTAAATGGTTTATTTAATATTATAATTTAGACTACAAGTTCGGCATAAAATATAAGAAAATATAATTTTTCTTTTTACTATATATATTACTCTTCTCGATATACCTTATTTAGTACTCACTAATTACAAAAAGATTTATATCAATTTTACCTATTACAAAGTTGAGGTTTGGCCATTCTTCACTGCTTGTTTAATCCATAGGCACACGACACCTTCGTACCACAGTTCGTACCTTGTTGAAAAAAACGCGTAAGCGACGCCGTTTACGACTTTTTTCTCGCGAACATTGAGCTATAATCTATAATGCTTACTATCTCATTTTCTCCCACGTTAAATCTTATGAATTTATGTGTCTTTTTACAGTCGCTTTTTCGTTTCATCCAGTTTCAAATCACAACGATGCTAAAGAAGTTTTCACTTCAAAAATATTTTTATTATAGCATAGATACTTTCGATCGACCTACTTGATACTTAGTTTTAAAGTATCGATACAAAAAGTACGTCGGAAGGAATGTATTGAGTAATTACTTTATTTACTCGTATCTTTTTATCCCTAATTGGCAGTTACGGTTCAGTACGGGAACAATTACAACTAAACCCTATCGAAAGGGCAATGTTTGCTTTTTTGCACAAATGTTTGACAAAACTTCTGGTACTGCTACTGTCAGTCTGTACGCTAAGTCTAGCAGTAAACATAACGAGCTGATGAGAATAGAAAATAAAGCCTAATGTATTGGTATTTTGATTGAAAATGTTATATAAGTGCTGGAATAAAATACTCTAAATTTGTAAAGGCTGTTATTTAAAGATTATCATTTGATACACTTACTTGGAATCGGCGTGCCTGCTCAGGTGTAGCTTCAAGTACCACAGGAGCCTGTTGTTCCTGGGCACAAAAAGGCTCACAGCGAGCGCTAATAACTGCCAGCCTTGGACGAAGCTGTACGTCGGCGGGTTGCTTTTACAGTCCACAGATAATAATGGCGCCTGAAATGTGCCAAGGTGATGAAATTTTCCCTAATTTAGTGTAAGTTACCCGAAATCAATTAAAGAAAGACAAATGATTTCATTTTGATACATTATGCCATAATTATAGAGATTAACATAGATTAATATTTTCGAGGTCCTTCAGAGAGGAAACATTTTATATAAATGGGAAATTTTATAGTTACTTATGAAAGCCGACTAAATAACAATTATAGCATTTTAACCATACATCACATTTTACTAGTAAGGACCGGAAAAATATTACTTATTTAGGATGATATATCGAAAAAAAAAACTATTGTAATTATCAAATTTGTAGTTTGTGATCTGAAATGAAAACTTAATTCGTAACAATTATTTAAAAAAATTTCAATATTATTTAATTGTACATTGAAGGTATACAGTTTATTCAAACTTACTTCAGCATTTCTCATATGACATTGTAAATAAAAAATATGCAAATCAGTCAATACATTTTTTGGCTTTCGAAATTGTTTTATAACTTTATGAAATGTCACTGGTAAGTCTATTAAGCATGTTAGGGCTTCTATTTTCGTAACTTTGATTGGCTCTAAGTTAGAAAATTTATTTTTATTTCTTTCATCCATGCAATGTTAGTCAATCGATCAATCATATAAAAAATAATAGCATTTTATTGCTGTTTTATTCTTCAAGTACAAGAAATTAATGAAAAACAGTGTCTTTGTGAACCAAAACATGTGATGCAAAACACAATAATGGTTTCCTTCCCTGTTTAAGCTCCGTTACTATTACTACGAAATAGTATAAAGTTAATATCATTTCTTCTCTACAGAAGAAACCTTGTAGAAAGCGTTTCCATTCGTTGTAATGTCTTTATTATATTCTCTTATTTGACATCGTCATAGTGTATGTTTTACTTATTTAAAAATTCTTAGCTACATCTTTTCGTTATGTGATACAAAATATTTGTGATAGGTAATTTTGTCAATTTATCGTCAAATGGGTCAAAAGTTAAAACTCTGGCCAGAATATTAGATATACATAGGTAATAGAGATATGAAAGTATTTATATTTTTAAATACTTCAACCAGTTCCACCACAGACTCCCAAGAAGACCCTGTTTGAAATTGTCCAAATGATATGTGGTTTCATTAGAATTAAAAAAAAATTTAACACCTGTGTGATCAGCGGATCACCGGATCAGTTTATATTATTTGAAATAAATATTTGCATTAAAGTCACACACAACAAAACATCTGCGTATTTATTACACGCAAAACTGACGGTTTAATCAGCTGCTAATCAGTTGGATAGCAAACCCGTTAATTAAATGCTGGAATTTGTTGATTGGAGTTAAACGTTTGCAAAAGCCTACGGCGCCATAGAATATTTTATCATAACGTGCTGTTTTTTATGCTTAACTATTAACGGTATGTAGGTAATCAAATATAAATGCACGAAACGTTATCGCGCAGCGTAAGCTAAACGCGTTATAACATAACGACGCAACAGACTATTGGTATTTTACTTACACAGCGCGTTGCTTAACATAAATAGCGTTAATGCGCCATAAAAAGCGCACTATATTTGTAGCATCACGTAAAAGTCAATATAGCGTGTTACAGTGCGTACGGATAAAGAATGGGATTAGAAATGGTGACTAACCGAACCCGTACCGTTAACATGCACAGTATGAATAGCGAATACCCGCTAATAACGATATATCATTATATAATTATATTATTCAGTTAGTTGAAAATTTCTATTATTGGGAAAACATTAAAAAATAATTGTATACGCAAGTAGCTACAATAATTTTAAAATAACATTTACAATGAGCTACCCGCTCTGGCTTCGCCTGGCAGGGATCTATTAATGGGACGTTATTTAGACTTAAGCCTGCCTTTAGGCATTAATTCCGCCCTTTGTATACTTTTTTTTCTAAGGGGACGCAATAGTTTTTAAAATAAAATAATAAAATAATTCATCATCATCATCATCATTACAGCCCTTCACAAGTCCACTGCTGAACATAGGCCTCCCCCCAAGTAATGCCACAAAGCACGGTCCTGAGCCACCTGCATCCATCGACTTCCTGCATGTCTTACCAGGTCGTCACTGCATCTAGTGGGGGGTCGCCCTACACTACGCCTACCGGTACGAGGCTGCCACGACAGTTGTCGGTTCTTCGAGCTACATGGCTGGTCCATTGCCACTTCAGCTTACTAATCCGTAGGGCTATGTCGGTCACTCTGGTTCTACTGCGGATATCCTCATTTCTAAGTTTATCACGCAGAGAAACTCCGAGCATAGCTCTCTCCATAGCTCGCTGAGCGACTTTGAACTTCCTCATACGGCCAGCAGTGAAGGACCACGTCTCGGTTCCGTAGGTCACCACTGGCAACACGCACTGGTTGTACAACTTAGTTTTCAGGTTTTGAGGTATACCTGACGAGAAGATGTGTTGTAATTTCCTGAACGCTGCCCAGCCGAGTTGAATCCGTCGATTGACCTCTCGGTCGAAGTTGGACTTACCTAGTCGGACTATTTGTCCCAGGTAAACGTACTCGTCAACAACTTCGAGAGGCGTGGAGCAGAAGTGCGGTGGTCTTGTTCTTCAAGAAAGGTGACAACGCCCTCTTGAAGAACTACAGACCGATATCCCTTCTGAGCTGCGTCTACGTGCTGTTTTCGAGAGTCATTACGAATCGTCTCGCACGCAGACTCGGCGACTTCCAGCCTCCTGAACAAACCGGTTTCCGAAAAGGCTTTATTACCATAGACCACATACATACCCTTTGACAAATTGTACAGAAGTCCGAGGAGTACAATCTGCCACTTTGCCTGGCATATGTGGACTATGAGAAAGCCTTTGATTCTGTCGAAATTTGGGCGGTGCTACAGTCCCTTCAGCGGTGCCAAGTTGACTGTCGGTATATCGAAGTGCTGAAGTGTTTATACAGTAGGTCTACGATGGCTATCCGAGTACAGAACCAGAGTACGAAACCTATCCAACTGCAGAGAGGTGTAAGACAGGGTAACGTTATTTCCCCGAAATTCTTCACCGCCGCATTGGAAGAAGTTTTCAAGCTACTGGACTGGAAAGGATACTGTATTAACATTAATGGCGAGTACATCATGCACCTTCGATTTGCCGACGATATAGTCCTTATAGCATAATCGCTGGAGGACTTAAACACTATGCTCAATGACCTCAATAGTGCCTCCCAACGGATAGGTCTTAAGATGAACATGGACAAAACAAAGATCATGTTTAATGTCCATGTCACACCTATGCCGGTAATTGTTGGGAGCACCAAGCTCGAATAAAATAATTATTAAAGATTATTTTATCTTGTGAATATTTGTATTTTAATAATATTCCTAAACTTTTCGGATAATTTAGTCTAGATCACTTCTGGTAGTACTCCCTATTTGTTCGTAAAGTTTTATTACAATCGGTTCAGTCATTCCAAAAATCAGTTCGGACAGACAGACAAACGAAAATTTTAAAAATGGTTACTCATGTCTCATTAGGATGCAAATATTTTATAAAAATATTATCAACCAAAATTAACAATAAATATAAAGAAACCTCAAAACGCGCAGTAGCTCATAAATTAGCGAAACCAGCTTGATTTTTTTTCTAGTTTATGGCATTTTTGTTTCATTGATTCCAATGGTAAGTTGGACTGAACTTATAGAATGTTCGTAACGTAGTTTTTTAACAGTCTTCACTGGCGGGTGTGAGTATAGATAGCGACAGTATGTGAGCGAGAGATGAACAGTGGCGACGCCATTTCAATCCCATTCTTTAACCGCACGGGTAGTCACTTATCATAAAAGTATTGCGCTATTCATCATGTTGTCCAGTACTAATTACCTGTATAGAGCTGGGCGAGCCCGCTGTATTAGGCGGCATGTCGCCGCTCTTGCTGTCGCCGACAGACGAAGCGCCCGTGTCGCAAGTGAACAGCGACTGAGTCGCGCACAGCAGCAGTTGCTGCGCAAATGAAATGTTGGTGTTCGAAAACTTGGTGGGGGGATTGTACTGCGACTGTTGGCCCGACGGCCTCATTGATTGTCATGTTGTGATTGATGTTTAGTTTAATAAAAATTCATTATTATTAAAAATATACTATATGGAAGAGCTCTGTTTGTGAATGAGGCTTGATATCAAACAATTAATTGGCAGCTCAAACTTTATCAAACACTATTCGCAGTCGTACTATGGACCTAGGACAAATATCCAGACCCGGAACATTTTTGAGGTCTATAAAAATACTTGTCCCTTACGGGAATCGGATTCTCAACCGCTGCGCCGCAGCAAAACGATTAGCCGTTTTACATCTGAATTATGGAAGATATTACGTTTTTAATCTTTTACTAAGGTTAAAAGTATCTGTTAGCACTGAATGAAAAATAAAACAATTATCATAACTTAAATGTTGAAAAATTATGACTCATTTGACTTATCTGGTTCTAATAAATAAATAGATTGTTTGTATGTTAGTAGCAGTGCCAAATATAATGCTAGTAGAGTGCTATATTACAACCGTTTCTGCTAAAATACATTTTAACCCATCCTTATGTTTAAACCCGTGACTATATAGAACAGAGTAGTGCAAATACTTATCCTTCATAAGGTATAACTGCATAATATCTCTCTAGTAGGTATCTTCATAATATATAACGTATACAACATGTAACAACGATTACACAACCAGTACACAAACCCTGTGGTTCCTGTTAACTGCGTCATCAGAATCAGTATTCAAGCGTATAGAAATAATTTTTTTTTCAGAAAACTAGACAATATTTTTTTTAAATTTAATTAAAAAAATATTTGCAAATTGTATGTGGTTTTATTTCCTCTAACTCACACGAGTATCGGTAATGCGGGGTCTTTGACAATCCTCTTACTCCTCGGCCAATGCAGATATAATAAAACCACATGCAATTTGCGAATAATTTTTTTAAATGTTTTTTGAAAAAAATATTTTTATACACTTGAATACTGATCTGATAATGCACTTAACGAGAACCACAGGGTTTTTGTTACATGTTGTATATGTAACTAAAAATTTCCAATGTACCATGTAAATTTATTTACAATTAAAAACATTTACTGGATTAAAATTAAACAAACCCATAAGAAAATTGCTATGCAACCACAACCGTAAGCATGAATGTATTTGATGATATTAGGAAATGAAAGTTTACAATTATTACCGTTAATAATAAAAACAAAGAACCTTTGGATAATCTCCCGTCATGTTTGCAATGCTCTTACTTATGATTTAATAATATTAAAGGATTTTTATTAGAGTAAGATAAGTACCGTTTAAATGTAAAATACACTTTTATAAATTTTAATACTCTACATTAAAACTTAAATTTAAATAACTAAATAAAATTTCTTTTGAACTACTTTGTTGTAAACAAATTAAAATGAAACCAAAAACTTGACTTGAAAAATAACTCAGAAAAATATTGCAATATTTCAAGTTGCCATGGAAATTCTGTTATGTTATGTAATCTTATCATCACTAGAACTTTTATGCAGTTATACGTGGCTTAAACCTAAGTAATCCTAAGACTTACCTTTGTAAAAAAAATATTAATAAAGATATAAATATACTAAAACAACTTGCAACATCAATCGTTCATAACAAAGTTGAACCAACAGTGCGAGGAAACTAGCTATGAGTTATGAATGATATTGTATACGACAAAAAAAAACATTCCCTATATCTAAGGAGTAGGGGTCAAACATTCGAGGATGAAAACGTCATTAGAAACAAATTAAATATGGGGAAAAATTACACCAACATTCCATTTGAAAGATTGCGACAATGTACATACCACTTTTTTGTTGTGGCAACATTTTCACTTTATTTTTATGTATGCATAACAGTCTGTTATATAAAACGCTTTTTCGATAGCCGATTGATCGTTTGTCAATGTTGCCAGAACTGAACGATCAAGTTGGAATTTTCGATCAATATACAACTCAAAGAGTTCACTCATTGCGAATAATGTTTTGATTTTCTTTGGTTTAAAACACATTATTTAAAATATTTTCAAAAGCCAACAAAATGTTATTCACACACAATTCCAAATTGATCAACCACATGACATAAGCTCGTCTCTATATTACAATTTACAGCAGCACATAAAGCGTTTTACAATTACATTGAAATAAATGGTTTGTTAGTGTATATTGGTTTTTAAAAATGCAAAAAAGCACTAAAACATCCTAGCGTCGTATTGTAGCCCTTTACAACAAATATTGCGAAAAGCCAGAATTAAATAGTCATATTACAAAATGACTTCGGATTAAATATTTTCTATAATACTTTTATCAATATACAAATAATAGTGATGATATAAACAAACCGATACTGGTGTAAATTAATGACGACGAGTAAAATGATGGCATATGAGAAAAGCATTGAAGCATTGCTTGAAAGCAAAGGCGGTGGTGAATATAAAGCGTGTTTAAAATAACCAGAATTCATAGATTATTTCTACTTTATCACTGAAAACACTACAACCATTTGCATTGCATTGGCTTGTAGTGTTTTGGCGTCGCTAAGTGACATGCCACTTATGTGTTATGTATTATGTAATAAACATTTTTGATGTTTAAAAATTTACTGATATTTAATCTTATAGCCAAATATACAAACGCTACTCAATCTTAACATGTCATGAAGTTTGGTGGTGTCACAGTCACTTTGACTTAAAGTGATAGACAGAGCACGAGACTTAATTAACGGCATCTTAAAGTTGAGTAGTTTTTGTATTTGGGCATTAGAGACGCCATGATGTACGAGTAGTTTGTTATTATGTAATACATTGTTTTGAAATGTTAAGTATAATACTTTATTTACAAAAAGTGTGTATTAAACATGAAACCTGGTTAAGCTTTATATTCAAATTGACTTTCATTGAAACTAAATACTGTGACAATAAAATATTAATTACCCTATGAGGTGTGCCTGTGAATTTAGCAACAACAAAAGTCTTTATAATTTCAATTATGAAAAGTTTCTAAATATAAAATCTACATTAGAAACTTTTCGTAAATAATAGCAAATAAAAATTAACGCTAATTGCTCCTGTGTTAAATATAAAAAATGGGTTTAAAAATCTTTGTTGATATATATTTAAAAAAAAAATTAAAGTATGGAAAGTAACACAGGAACATTTAGTTTATTGGTTAGAAAACATTGCTGGGAGATGCGATCAATCACGATGTCCAATACCAAATCCCCTAGAACTGCCCGTAAGAGCTAATGCAAAGTATACCTCTACATTACGAATACATTTATCAAAAATATCTTTATAACGAATTTTTAATCATTGCAGAATATAGATACAAAGTATTATTTACCTACATTTAACGAATTTTTTCAACTTAGAACCTTCACATAACATATCCTATTAATTATTATCACTTAATTCCACATTAAATCATGTCTTGACAGGTTTAAAGACGTTAAATTCTTAGTAAGGCAATTGTTTATTGTGTATTGATTACTATTTTGGACAGAAATAAAAATACTGTGTTTTTTATTCAATTGTGTTTTCATATATTAGTGGAAATCGTTTGCTTTAACAGTGTAAGCAGATGAGTATTTACGTAATTTTGAGGTTAATAAACAAGTTTTCTTACCTTGTTAATTGAGTATTGTAGTCCTACCTAAGCTCTATATAACAAACTTCATTATAACGAATTACTTTGTATAGTATAACGAATATTTCCTATAAAATGGTTTAATTTTTTGGCAATAAACTATATAGGATTTGTTAATAACTTTGTCAAAATTTGGTTAAGTCATAAAGATATCGTCAATTTTCACCTTTTGAAAGCAATTTAGAAGCTGCCATTTTAGTTATTACATTATTTTTGTTATATTATCAAGTGAAATGAGATTTAAAGATTTTTTTGGGTGACAAACACACACACCTGACAGAAGTGGATGCTAAGGAACACACTTATTAAAATTAAATCACTAAAAGCATGTCTGTAAATATTTAACTATTTTTTTTTTTCATTATTATTATAATGTCTTACTTATCGCGTTATTTTAGTTTAACATCAACAAGTGAAATACACATTTAATAAACAGCACCAATAACAGCAAACGATTTACCAACCAAGTAAAAACAATCGCATCTCCCTCGCGAAACAAAACGGCATCACTTACTGCTTTGAGCTTGGGCTTAATGGCCGAGCGCTTGGGGCGCGGGCTGGGCGAGGGCGAGGCGGCGGCGGGCGCGGTTACCTGCACGCCGTGCTTGGAGTGCGCGTGCGGCGCCGTCTGGCGCGCCAGGCAGGCGGCCAGCTCGTCCTGCAGCTCGCACACGTCCAGGCACTGCTGCAGCGCGTTCTGCGCCAGCACCACGTGGTAGTCGATGCCCGCCTGCTCCACCGCCACCGACATGAACAGCTGCACGCACTGTGCCAATATACACAACACACGTCACCTTTTATATTTTACAACTGAGAACTTCTTTAGGCACGTTGCCTATTTTTTTTATAGGATAGGATGACAAACGAGCACACAGTCCACCTGATGGTAAGTGGTTTCTGTGTTCCATAGACATCTACATCTATCCTCGATTACGAATCAAAATGCAGATGCGTTGTCATCCGTGAGGACTTAGGTGGAATGCCTCGTTTCCAGTAAAAAGGGTCTCCGGTTCTCTACACTCACCATACGAAACAGAGTAACATTAAGCTACTATTTGACGCTGGTATTCTGTGAGAGCGTGGTCCTTCCCCGGTCGAGCCGACCCAATCGTGCTACAACTATTGTTACAGCCCTCAGTTGCCCCGACAAAAGTCGACCGGACTAGGGCCCATCAGTAATCCAACTCGACGAGCAACCGAGGGTGCGGGCCCAAATGGCCTATGGATTAATAATAAAAGCTGGATACGCAAACACAAACTTACCGAGTTCCGGAGGTAGGGTCGACCACGAGGTGCCGTCAGGGGCAAGTAAATGGTATGTGTGAGTGGTATAGGAAGGTGTGTAATGTACCTGTCGTCACCGTGTAATCGGATAGCAGAACCACATGCGTTACCCAGCTCCACAAGGCGCAATCACTCCAGTAGGCGTTCGCCATTATCGGAACTCAAGTCCAACGTCACTTAGCACAAACTATATTCGAAGAGAACGCGATCTCCTCCCGGATCACAAAGTTTAGCGTTCAACCGACAAAGCAGAATTCCTACGTACGATATTAAAATAATACACAAGCCACACGTCGACGCAAATTAATGGCAATCGAAGTTACATTAATAACTCAAACTCAAAGAAAGCCTCGTTGCCACGCACACTTACAAAATAAGACAACACAAAGGAGGCCGTCGTAATGCAACGTAACGATCCTTACGTAACTCCGACCTCTAACCGGCACGGCCGTCGCGTACAAAAGAATATTCTAGACTTATAGGCGCGGCCGCAGGCCGCACTAGAATCCCCCCGCGCACCGCAAACCGGTTCCCCGCTCGAGACGAGCGTTTTGCAAGTTTTTAAAGTCGTTACGATTTGGCGTTAACAACTATACTACTAATATAACTGCAGCATGGCTCTACCACGTAAGACACGTTGGTAAGGCACTTGCCTGCGACCGAATAGACCCCACTATCCCCTTCCAACATAACCTGTCCGAGTCGGGGTGCCCTAAGTCCCGAGCTCGCTTCGCTCGCTCATGCACTCAATTAAACACCGGGATATTAACTTATACAATTACTTTAAATTATAAACATAATTCATAGCTACAACCATTTTTAAAAAGGATCCAGAGGGATAGCGAAGTCGACGAAAAACAGGTGGAGGCAGATAAAAACGTTAGGGAGCACATTCACGTAAACTCAGAAACAACGGAATGACGAAAAGTATCTGTCACTGTCAACAAAATAGTCGGCCTAGTGATTAATTTCACGCATTTTGAGATGACTTTGACAAATGCAACGTCAAAAACGTCAGAATTTAGTTAATTGTACGTTCCATTTCCCGTTTAGTTAGTGATTCACCAATAATAGTTATAAAAATACTTCGACGCTGCTCCGGCAGCAATCGTATGGAGGTGTTTCAGATAGATATCCTCGACCCCCATAGTGACAGAATCCTCAAATTCAGGCCACTTAATTTCAAACCCAACTCAATGAAAATTTTATTATTATATTAATACGTTGCTTAAAATTGTTTCTGATAAAAATATTTCTTAACAAACCAAGAATTATATTTACAAGTTTGTGAAGCTAAGAAGTTTTGCACTTCTGACATGACTGACAGTTATTTTTATACAATTGCAGTGGTAAACGAACTACAGTACACCTATTAGTAACTACTGCAGTCTGGCCAACTTTAAACAAAGAGGACCACAGACAGATACATTATAACCTTCCATTGCCTTTCAGCCTGTAATTATACTAGCTCTCTTCTTTCTTTTTCTTTAAAAAAAAAGAAAAAGAAAGAAGAGGCACGGTCCTGAGCCACCTGCATCCATCGACTTCCGGCATGTCTTACCAGGTCGTCACTCCATCTAGTGGGGGGTCACCCTACATTACGCCTACCGGTACGAGGCTGCCACTCGAGAACCTTTTTTCCCCAACGGTTGTCGGTTCTTCGAGCTAGTTTCGTTCGAGCTCATTTCTAAGTTTATCACGGATAGAAACTCGGAGCATAGCCCTCTCCATAGCTCGCTGAGCGACCTTGAGCGTCCTCATACGGCCAGCAGTGAAGGACCACGTCTCGGTTCCGTAGGTCATCACTGGCAACACGCACTGGTTGTTCAACTTAGTTTTCAGGGGTTGAGGTATACCTGACGAGAAGATGTGTCGTAATTTCCTGAACGCTGCCCAGCCGAGTTGAATCCGTCGATTGACCTCTCGGTCGAAGTTGGACTTACCTAGTCGAACTATTTGTCCCTGGTAATCGTACTCGTCAACAACTTCGAGCATAGTGCTTCCAACAACTACCGGCATAGGTGTGACATGGACGTTAAACATGATCTTTGTTTTGTCCATGTTCTTCTTAAGACCTATCCGTTGGGAGACACCATTGAGGTCATTGAGCATAGTGCTAAGGTCGTTCAGCGATTCTGCCATAAGGACTATATCGGCGGCAAATCGAAGGTGAGTGATGTACTCGCCATTGATGTTAATACCGTATCCTTTCCAGTCCAGTAGCTTGAACACGTCTTCCAACGCAGCGGTGAAGAGTTTCGGGGATATAACGTCACCCTGTCTTACACCTCTCTGCAGTTGGATAGGTTTCGAACTCTGGTTCTGTACTTGGATAGCCATCGTAGCCCTACTGTACAAACACTTCAGCACTTCGATATACCGACAGTCAACTTGGCACCGCTGAAGAGACTGTAGCACCGCCCAAATTTCGACAGAATCAAAGGTTTTCTCATAGTCCACATACGCCAGGCAAAGTGGCAGATTGTACTCTTCGGTCTTCTGTACAATCTGCCGCAAGGTTTATATGTGGTCTATGGTACTGAAGCCTTTTCGGAAATCGGCTTGTTCGGGAGGCTGGAAGTCGTCGAGTTAGCGTGCGAGACGATTCGTAATGACTCTCGAAAACAGCAAGTAGACGCGGCTCAGAAGGGAAATCGGTCTGTAATTCTTCTGAAGGACTTCAAGTACCGGTGTTCCACCCGCTTTCAGAAGCTCCGCTGTAATTCCATCCTCGCCTGGGATCCTGCCGTTTTTAAGGTGCTGGAGAGCCATTCTAATCTCGCTCAGACTGACGTCTGGGATATCATCGTAATAGTGTCTATATGTCTATACCTATAAGCACCACTATTTTCGTAAAAAATATGCAAGGGATTGCTACTCAACCAAACAGACTCCTAGACAGATAAGGAGTACTACTACCTAGAAAGGCACCAAGTAAATATAACATAGTAAAGTCCGGTCGCGGAGCAGGAAGAATTTCGTACAATGACCTCTTTGCCTACCGACAGTGGTCAGAAACATTTTTGTGTTATGTGTGGTTTATATGAAATATTTGATGTGGTAAAAAATAAATTTACTAACCTATTAAATCAATTACATAAACACTCACGCCTGTCACCCAGAGGGGTAGGCAGAGACTACAGACTTCCATTTGGCACGATCCTGACACACCTCTCTCGCCTCCTTCACATCCATACATCTACGCATGCATGCTCGTCGGTTAAGGGTACTCCTAATTTGGCCCGTTTTCAATAAATCGCCAATTTGGTCGATAAATTTTCGCCTAGGACGTCCCTTTCCGACTCTGCCATTCACTTCTGCAACATAAATTTTCTTTGTCACTCTTTCCTCATCCATTCCTTCCACATGACCAAACCACCGAAGCATTCCTTTCTTAATCCTGGTCACAACGCAATCTTGCAAAACCACACTCTTCTCTTATCACACAATTCTTCACCCTGTCATTCAGATTCAGCCCTAACATACTCCTTAACGACCGCATTTCTACTGCATTTATTCTACTCTCGTGCTTCTTCTGCCACACCCAACTTTCACTACCATACGTTAAAGTAGGGACCAACACAGCATTGTGAATTGCCATACGTGCCTTTTTTGACACATTTTGACTCTTCACAATAGAGTGCAGGGCCCCATTTACTCTGTTTCCTGCGTTCAATTATTGGTATTATAAAACTATTTATTTTGTTTTTGTAATAAAAACAGTTATAAAAGTCAAGTTACAATTACTAATTTGGCAGAAATAAAAAAATGAAAATTCAAAAATCAGAATCTGATTTCTCTATATCGGAGTTACTGCTTTCCGATGACGTCCCGCCTGTCACATTTATTACAAAAGACGCAACAGTTTGGTTTACATTAAACTTAACAAATCCACTTAATAATTAAAACAAGATAACAAACAACAACAAACAAAGAATAAATAACTGCGATAACTATATCCGAAACTTCGCATGCCAAATCTAATCGCATAAAAAACGCATGCCAAAATGGAATGTCGTTTGTTCGTTATTTAAAAATTATTAATTATGTCAAGCAAGTCAAGGATTTTGGTCATGCCTTACAGTCTCAGGTAAAAGGTTTACAATCCCTGAGGATAGCGGCCATTGCATTATATTTATGCGATAGTGACAGAGGCATGTAATAACAGGTTAACGTACGAAATTCTTCCTTTTTCGCGTCCGGACTTTAGTAATAATTAAAAATATTATATTATATATCTTTGTAACTGTGATACCTAAAAGGCAAAGTGCCAGTTATGTTAATAATAATCATTTATTTTTATAAATCAATCACACATGCAAGCTGGTATTCTATGAGAATGGGTAGCGTCACGCTGCAGCTATATTATGATTGTAGCACGAATAGGTCGGCTCGACCAGGGAAGGACCACGCTCTCACAAAATATCAGCGTAAAATAGCAGCTTAATACTGCTGTGTTTCGTATGCCGTGTATCGTAGAGATCCGGAAACCATTTTTTACTGAAAACGAGGCATTCTATCTTACTCCTAAGGGGTGACAACGCGTCTGCGTTTTGATTCTTAATCGAGGATAAATGAAAATGTCTATGAGCCACAGCATCCAGCTACCATCAGGTGGACTGTATTCTTGTTTGTCACCCTTATTCTATATTAAGAAAATTAACCACTATCACCATACTTAGCACGTAAATTAACGATCACAGTACCCGATCTACTTTCTATACTGCTGTTCGTCGTCAGTCATACCGCCATCTATTAGGTGCTATGACATCTTTTTGACATTTTCTACTTTACCAAACCAGACAACCCTGGTCATAACTTGACCAATTACGAATTGCCGATCGCACTACGAAACGTTATTATAGGTGTGGCGTGGTAATCAATTCCGCCATTTTATTAAAGAGTAGAAAATTTTCCTAGTTTTCCGTTTAGCTGACTCACTCGGAACGACTGACGGTGATGTATATGTCTTCATGATGACACAGCCGAGGTAGTTGAATAATTATGTAATGTTAATTGTAGATTATTTTCATAGCTTATCGATTTTCCTAAAGTAGTCAATTATTCAAATCACATAAAGCGATATTCAAGGTTTGATGAAACCATAGAATACATACATAACAGAACGGGGGAGTGGGCGGAGCCCGTATAGCCACTAAAATGTCACTAACACGTCAATTCACACGTATAAATGTCAACACGAGATGTGTTTTGACGTTACAATCGTTTTCAAATTTCGCATGGAAATTATTTAGAAAATGCAAAATTGCACACTACTTACAAATAAATATGTATTAAAATCCGTCGTCCGCCGGGTTTGTAGTAGTGATTAACTGATACGACGTAATTGCTTGTATTTGTGCTCCCGTCGATGCCGAATCTCGTTCAAAATAAGGTTGACAGCCATTCTATTGTGTATTATAGTATTCTATGGATCAAACACTATACAAAGGATGAATATGTTTTCAATTTTTTGTAGAAAATAATCAATTAGGAATCGATTATCAACATCAGTAGCTGAAAATTATACGCACTTTGAACAGCTTCAACGCTTCAGCTTGCAGAGCCTCGGAGTTGAGCGACGTAAGGGGCGACGTTATGTTCTCCTTCGAATACAGCAGCGTTGGGTGCCGCCATAGCACGCAGTCTGTGAAAAATCGTAACAAATGTATAAGTAAACTTTTTCTTTTCAAGGACCATTCTCCTCCCACCTCAAAACTTTACCGAGAGGTTTATGGTCAGTACTTATACGAATACGGAATGTTCCTTAAAATAATGTCTATGCTATACTTTGCATTTTATTAATGAAAACTACGAATTGCGTTAATACGAGTACATCCATATTAGCGGGACTATTTCCGTGGTTTCGTAATACATTAGTCTTGAATCCGGCCGAACTGGTTTTTTCTTTTAAATTGGAACGATAATACTTTAATTTTTTACTTACTATAGTTCGGCCGTTCAGAGAATGCGTTCCTGCCACCTATCAGTTAGTCACGACTAGTGATGGGCACAACATAACACTGAGTTCGTTACCGTTCCTCCAAAATGAACCGCCGCGTTATTTTTAAGATTATTTTCGTTTTAAATTGGCGGAAGAAAAGGTAATATTAATATAATAAAATTGTTTTATTTATTCTTTGTTACAAAGTTACAATCTGTATTTCTATGCAATAAAGTACATTGAATTGAATTGAATGTGCGTACAGAATATTAATCAGACTCCGATTCGCTTGAGGAGGTGGTGTCTTCATCATCATCTTCGCCTACATGTATAATTATATTATTATCAATAACAGAATCAATCCTGATATCTCGGTCAAAATGTTCCACAATCAGGTTTTTAATCTTCTCAACAACCTTTGCCCAGTCATCTCTTGTGACTTCCCCGCAGGCATCTTTTAATAGGGTCATCATCTTTTTCGTGCTAAATGGCGGGGAAGTATTGTGGCGGGCGGCGTAACATTTTATTTGAGCCCAGATTAGCTCAATCGCGTTATATTGGCAATGATACGGTGGAATTCTTAGAACGCGATGACCGTACTCCAGAACCAGTTCATCGATTTCGTATCGCACATTTGACGCCTTATTTTCTTTAACTAATTTAATTAGCTCTGGTTTTAGCATCTGCATATTTGCGTCAATGCCTTTTGCTTGTAACCAAGCCACCATTTCTTCTTTTTTATTAGCTTGGGTAGGTGGTTTCTGTATTTGAACCGAGTGATAGGAGGCATTATCCATGAATATTACAGAAGGCTCTGGTAGGCTGGGCAAAAGCACGTTCTGGAAAGACTCTTTAAATGTAGTGGCATTCATTTCCTCGTGGTAGTCTTTTGTGGTTTTTGATTGAAATGCCAGTAACGCGTTCTCCACAAAGCCCTATTTTTCAGAACCTGCGTGGCATATTATCAGACGGGCCCCCTTACCCATTGGTACTTTCGACGTCGACGCTTGTGTATCATCCGTCCAAGAACGGGAAACCGTGTGATTGGCGTTTAGCCATGTCTCGTCAATGAACACGACATTATCCCAGTTATCAATATTTTTTGCTTCTCTCAAAAAACTTATCCGCTTTAAAATTATGTCGTATCGTTCTAATAAAATTTTTCTTTTGTCTGTTTTTTATACGAAAAACCAATATCTTTTAAGATTTTGGTTAAAGCAGTTTTACCCCCGCTAAACAGTCCAGCTTCTCTTAATGATGCCAAAAGCTTCTTCCTGTTGAGATATTCATTTCTGGAATAGTAACCATATATATGATTTCTGATTGCATCGGCGTCAAAGGTGTCAATATCTGTCACGGGTTTAGTTCTACGTTTCTTCTTCGGAGTACGTAACGGGAAATATTATCTTCCGTGCCAGTAGAGCCGAACTTTTCTTTATTAATATTTGTTATCGTTCGTTTGCTAACTCCAAGCCCCTGAGAGACGCGTTCTTGTACTTGTTCGACAGGTAACAGGGGTCCGCCATTTTGCCGCTCCCGCTCAAAGTAATCTTGCAGCTTGATGATTAACTCACGGGCTCCACTTTTCAATGTTTGTCCACGTTTAGGCATTATTATGCACCAAAAGTAAAAAGAACGCAATACAAAAGACAATCGAAGTCCGATTTAGCGCCGATGTCAGTTTGAAAAGCAGAAACAGTCCATTAAACGAAAGCCGGGTAATCAAATAAAAACAGATCGAAAACACTTGAAGAACGTGGTCTATGCGCACGAAACCACAACAGACGACTGTTTTAGCGTCACAAAATGGCGGCCCATAACGCCATTTGGGGTTACCATTTTCAACCTAAATATAAAAATGCTACTTTCTTTCGCGCGTTCGGTTTGGTCGTAGTTTTATTTTTATATTTAATAAAAGTTATCTTATAGTCCATTATTTTCAAATTCTTAAAAAGAAAAACAAAACGTATTATTTTATAAAGTATAACTGTATAAGAACAGATTACGATACTGTTATTGCCTGTTATTGTTAGCACAGCACTACAAATATAAAGCGCTGACATAACCTTGTAATAGCGCAGTATAGATTTAGAAAAATATTGTTTTCCAAGTTATTTGACACTCAGTTTGGCACAAAATTATAACATTCATTGATTATTGATATAATAATGTTGTTTTAATGCTCATCAATTGTTAAAACGGTAAACAACCAGCAAAAATATTTTTATCGTAACTGCAACGCCATTACAAAGTTACGTCGTCAGTTCAATCGCGACGTGTCAGGAACGCATTCTCTGAACGGCCGAACTATACTAGCTTTTCAAAACAAAGATGTTCTTACCCCGTTTATAAAAGATTTAAATACCTAATGGAGGAAATTGGAAAATAAAGCAACTTTAAGGTTTTGTTTATTAAGAGAAGTGTTTTAGACCTCTGTAAACTTAATAAATTCTAATAAATCTATACTTTTTATAAAAAGATTAGGTTCATTCATTAATTTAATAATTACTGTCTATTAGTAGTCCACTGCTGGACTAGCTTCCAACAAAGGTCTCATCCATAAAATGCCATATAGGATATTACAACAGTCGCCACACTTGGCAAGTAGGTTGGCCACCGTATTTTTTATTTTCTGTCATTATCAGGAGGCGTGGTAGCTCAGATGGTTAACGCTTGCTGTAAATATAACAGAACGCGAGTAACCCGGGTTCGATCCCTGCCGGCACCAATGAAATTGTTAATTGCAATTTTAAGTGCTGATTTACCACATGCTCGGCGGTGAGGAAAACATGTTTGAGGAATAAAAAAAATATATTTCGAAGACATGTGAAGTGCGCCAACACGCATTGGGGCAGCGCTGCGGACACTTCCTTTGCCCTAAAACCCTCTCAGAAATGAGGGGGAGGCCTGTGGGTGAGGGTGTATAAAAGCTGTAACTTTATTTTTTTATCAGGTAGATGCTTATGCCAATCCCCTGTTTCAGTTTCCCTTTGTCGCCTCTTAAACACCCACGGGATAATTAAATGGGATAATAGATATTCTTACGCCACCTGGGTAATAGATATTACAATAATAATGTCCTCCAGACCGAATTCCGGCCACGGCAGCCTGCCTCAACGGAGGCTAGCCATCGGCGCAGGACAGGATTATAGTGCCCAAGTGTATGCGCAAGCACAGGTGCACTCTCTATTCCCTCACTCTCATAATCCGATGGGACGGTAAACCGACACGACCGGAGAGAGATCAGGCGCAGGACCAACGGCTTTACGTGCTTTCCGAGGCACGGGGATGAGACACCGCCAACTTCCTGACTCCGGGTAATTACTGAGAATTTCTTGACGAAAAAACTCAATAATTAATTTTTTGGCCCGACCCGGGATTCGAACCCAGGACTTTATGATCAGCAGTCGCACTACTACAACCACTAGACTAACGAGGCAGTTAATATATATATACAATATGTAATGTAATTAACCCACACCTTCAGACACCCCAATTAGTATATTATGTTATAATCATAACACATACACTGAATTTAACAGTAGTTAAACATTTTTATGCACTGATTATTTATCGAATTAGTTATACTAATTCCGGAAGAATGTTGTGGTCACAGTACAAATCCACGAACACAGACTTTAACGTGCTTGAAATAAAGTTCAATTTTCTTTATTTTTATTGAATGACAGAATTAGTAATAATACAAATAAAACTGCACTCTTAAAAGTCTTATTGCCTTAAGCTAGGGTCCATTTCAGTTTGTTTTGACTGTACAGATTTAGTGTGACTGTAAGTTATGTAGTTTTAATTATTTTTGGGATAAAAAATTACCTATATTAAAAATAGGAATAGATTCAGTAAACGATTCTGAACAAACTACTTTCTCAAAGTGCGTTAATTATGTTACATATTATATATATATACATATATACATACATATATATATAGAGAGAGAGAGAGAGAGAGAGAGAGATATTATTACACTGCACACTACCATTGTGTGCTAGAACAAAAAAAGACAAAAGATATAATGTGTAAGGCGAGACATATCAAGAAAAGTATGCTCACTGGGGTCCCCGTCGGTCTCCATGAGCTTGTGCACGAGCTGCTCGAAGTGCGTGCCCTGGCTGAGGCCGCCGCCGCTCACCACCGTCAGCTGGTACAGCCACGCGTCCTTGTCCGCCTTGCTTTCGAACAGCAGGTACGTGGGACCCTGCAGGGGGGGAGGACACTTTCACTTACATATCTTTTTTTTAATATAGTATAAGATTGAATTTGAAAGTAGCAAGCAAAGGGGAAGATAGTAAGGAAAAACGTTGTGACTGACCGTAGTTACCTGGTGCTGCGGGTAGATAGCGACAGTGAGGTGGCTGCGGGCATCATCGTTCTTCTCCTCGGAATCAGAGTCCGATGTGTGTTCTACGTCTTCAACACGGGCGTCGCGCATATTTATCTGACCGATTGGATTCTGTAAAAGATTAATTATGCATTAAAAACAGCCGTATGCTAATGGTATAGGTTAATCCTATATTAATTACTCGTAAAATAAATTCATTAAGACATTTTATTTTCTAATTTATGATTATAAAACATGATTAAAGTTAATAATATGTCCCACTTGACAAACATTATAATATTTTACTGTGTGGTAGCCTCAAAATGTTTATCAGTGAAAGCATAATTCGATTTTAACTCTTATAGTATATTAAATAAGGTTCAAATACCTGGTCACCGGGCGATTTGAAGTAAAGAAACATTTTTCCGATCAGGACACACCAACTTTTTTTCGCGTGTCCGTTCTTGACCTTTGTCAACCAACCCTGGATAGTAGGCTTGTTGTCTTCTTTACTAAGGAGTAACTTTGTGGCGTTCCTTCTTTGGACATTCTGTAAAAGGAAGAAAATATTTCACAATGCCAGAGAACTTTAGTCGTATTGTCTGCATTTTGATTCTTAATCGGGGATAAATATAGATGTTCATGGGCCACAGCATCCACTTAGGTGGACCGTGTGCTCGTTTGTTACGCTTCATGTATAAAAAAAACTTTCTTATGACAATTACGCCATTAAATGAAATAAAAGCATCTCTTATATCTCTTATTCGTGGTAGAGCCACGCTGCAGCTGTATCATGGTTGTAGCACGTATGGGTCGGCTCGATCGGGGTTGGACGACGCTCTCACGGAATACCAGCGTAAAATAGCAGCTTAATGCTGCTGTGTTTCGTATGGTGAGTGTAGAGAACCGGAGACCCTTTTACTGGAAATGAGGCATTCCATCTTAGTCCTCACGGGTGACGATGCATTTGCATTTTGATTCGTAATCAAGGATAGATGTAGATATCTATGGCCCGCAGCAACCACTTACCATCAGGTGGACTGTGTGCTCCTTTGTCACCCTTATTAAACAAAATTGAAACTGAAACTTTTTATCTAACAAAATAAAAATGTAATTTGCTTTGTTGAGAAATATGTGCGTCGTGACAGGTGATAAGGTAAAACGAATAAAGGGAAATTATCTAAAAAGACATGCAGAGGATAAGGAGTATATTGAAAGCATAGTATATATGGTAATATCTTTAAGACACCTCGGTGTATCCTATTTTGACTGACTTTAAAAAGGATGAGGTACACAATTTGACTGTATATTTTATGTGTACTACCTCTGAACTTTTTTCCACATGAACCGATTTTGATTTTCCGATTCTTTTTCTATTTGAAAGCTTGTGCTTCTCATGTGATCCCATATAAATTTAATCAATATCTGACCAGTAGTTTTTGAGTTATCCTTAATAACGCGTATTTAATTGACTTTGACTACATTGATGATATTCTCATTTTATTTATAATGCAGTCAGTTCTCTGTTCTCTCTCATCTGTTTGTAATACGGATATGTAATTATATTTACGAGTGTAACATTTTTTTAAATATTTATTTACATAAAATAAATACATCGCTTTGGATTTAAATGAAAGACAAGGTTTAAGCGAGTGCACAACTAGTTGGAGGGAAAAATAGATGACAACATGGCACCAACTCAGAACCATTGCTAGGCAGAAAAGTGTACTTACCACTTCAATTTTTTTTTTAGTTTATAAATTCTTGATATATAACAATCATTAAATTAATTTTTTTTGGACTCTCACTTACAACTAGATAGTTAGATAATATTAAATATATTTATAATATTTCTTCTCACCTGCAAAACTCTAATCCAATCCTCCATAGTAGCAGTGCTGTCGGCAGTAAGGTAGTAAGTTCGACTTCCCGTGAAGATTTCGAAAGTGGCCGCCCCTTCGTTGCGTGATATTTTACAGGCCTCACCAAGACCTATTTGACCTTGAGGTTTTCGATTCACTTCAGATTGGGACTTCCAATAGGAAAGCGTGCCGTTCTTGAGGACGAACCTAGAAATAACATGAATGTTTTGATTAGTTTTTGTTATATATAACCGTATAACAAATATATCGTAAGACAGGTGAGGGGATGCTTATCAAAAACGTTTAAGATACGTATAGCTAGCTAAGAAAGAATTAACCGAGACCGTCATAGTGAGATGTGAACACTATCAATGTCTTTAGTTAGGTACTTTTTATATTTTCTAAAACAAATTATGGTGAGTATTTCTGAATTATTTTTATCTAAAAAGATAACAAGAGTTTCCTTATTTTTACACCTATAATATGAAACATAATACGGATAATTATTCTATGCTATTTTAAGCTGATATTTTGTGAGAGCGTGGTTCTTCTCTGGGCGAGCCAACCCGTTTGGAGTGGCTATATCACGTAATGCTGCGTCCGCACCCTTAGCACTGCCCGCAAACTTCAAACCTCTATAAACGTTTTGCTTGATTTTGGGAAACAGGATTTCTCGGCCCCGTGATACAAAGTACCCACCCGCTTGCGTCCTTTGCGGACACACTGGCCATACGGCCAACTTCAGAGGCTGCCCTCGCGCGCCTCGCCCCAATCTCGGCAACAAAGCTACCAAAAAAGCTCCGCCACTGGTCAATGACCGTACATTCCCGGCTCTCCCATCCAAAATGCCAATTCAGGGCAATTCTCAGTCACCTCAGGACCTGTATCGGCCCCCTCAGGGACCCTACAGGCCTCCTCACCATCGCCCACTAGGGCCCCGACAGCAGGCGGAACCCTCTTACGCCGATAACGTAGATACAGTATACACTGCTATCCGCAATATCGACGTAAGAGAGATCGCAATTTTAGCACGCAAACTGCGCGCTTCTCAGTCCCCTCAGGACCGTCTGCTCGCGTTTACCGAGCACCAACACCTTCTAAATTCAATATAATTAGTCATCCCATTCGTAAGCTGCCTTAATTAGGCAGCAATTCTTCCCAGCGGCTACTCGCCGCTAGCGCCCCCCTTTCACCCAAGGGGGGTCGGTTCGATACGGCTTAAAGATCTCTAGCTAGATCGTTAAGCCAGTCCCTAAAGGCGATGTTTAGTGGGTAAAAGTCTCCATATAACCACGCAGCCGGCTGCGTGGTATGCTATGAGCATTCACTGCCTTCCTACCCCGCTTTCCGGATAGTTGTCCTTATTGCTATGGGCGCAAAAAAAAATTGGGAATCAGACGTGCCATCACCATCTACACGCTCTTCAAAATAAACTAACGCACTCGGCGTTAGTTTATTTTGAAAAGGCAAGCTTGACAGATGTTAAGGTTGTTGTGTCGGTCATAACATTTGGCTTAAGTTATATTTATTATTATAAACACAAGAAAACAAGAGAAAGAAAACGAAAAATACACCAAAGAGATGGTGGATGTTAAAAATTCATAAAAACCGTATTTTCGCCATTAGTCCATAAATGAGACCGAGTGCCCATAAACGTAATGCAAGCGCTTGCGGAAAATTCCCTTTGATTTGTGACAAAAAAAAAACGACACACGACGGATCGGTTACAAGCGCTTGCAAACCAAGCTTGTTGAGGTTTGCCAAGGGTGCGGACGTGGTAAGTGAATTATCGTTGTAATATTACCCAGAGGGACTCTTTTTCTGGCTCAATGTACTAATGAAAGGTATTCATCGCGGCACGTAACTCTAGCGCTGAACGAATCGTGGTGGGAATTACTGCAAATGACGTATCAGTGCGGGGGACGGAATGCGACTGGAGAGCCAATCAGTGTGTGCGAACGATACGCACAGCCAATCATACGCAATAATGCGCAATAACGGTTACTGCTAGAATTTCGTGCTGCGAGTTAGGTTTTTGATTTGTTCACTCTTATGTATTTCTGCCGTCGAGTGTTCCGGTTGGAAAAGTATAGAAAGTCGGTTTAATACTAATCTATGTCATAATACATCCATAGCCTTTGTTTGAAATTGGTTGCAGTAGCCCATTTTGTAAAAAAGCCGTTGGTTGAAACATAATCATAAAAATAAATCAGGCTGCGTAAAAATTACTGAAAGAAAAAAATTTATACCCTATGTCATATTCACAACTAAGACACATCTAACAACACCATACGTTAAAAATTCATCAAGTCGTTAAGACCACAGAGCATGCCAAAGAAATTCCTAGAGTATGTATATTTGTAAGGATGTCCTTACAAATATACATACTCTCGGAAAACATTACCTCCTGGGGCAGTCGGATAGAAAAATATAAAATCAATGAAAGTATCTCACCATCTCTTCCGCCAGGTCTTAAGCTTGCCGCCCAGCTTAGCGAGGTGTCCGCTTTTCTCGAGCGCGTCGTGCCTGCGCGGCGAGTCGGCACCGGCACCCCCCCGCGCCCCCCAGTCCGCCAGAGCCGCCCCCCACGCCGACCAGCGCGAGCGCGCTTCCTGTACCCCCCGCTGCACCCCCCGCACCCCCGGCGCCTAGCGAACCCGCCACGCTGCCCCCCACGCTGCGGCACGCTCCCTCGCACGAGCCCGCGTCCGGCGGGATCGCGTAGTCGTCCGACATGCCCGATTCGAATGACGTGTCTGATGATATAATATTAAGAGTTAAAAAAATAAACCGCATTGATCATGAACTGTCGAAATACTAAGCCACTGAAATATGTATAAATAAATTTCAGATTGTTCCGACTTCCGAAAGTGTGGAAAAAATTCCATTACATACATGCAAGTTAACCTTTTAAAAGCATTTAAAAGACATACGTTCGAACAAACCTTCAATAATAACTTCAAGTGTTGTAATTAGCGTATATTTCACCTAATGAAGGCAATAACATAATTTTTGAAATCATTAAATATTTTACAATGAATGTGGCCATGTAAGAATATTCACTAGCCCATATCGCCCCGTGGGTCTTTTACAAAAAGATAACAGAGGAAAACAAACCAAGATGTGCAGCAGCGTCTGCAATCTGGTCCAGTTCAACCCCAGAGGAATATTTTTGCGCGTTTGCAACTAAAAAGAACTCGTATCTCTTCGATTTCATGGCACTTCCGCCTTGTTGTTTGAGTCAGCATAGGAGTCCTCGGCGTCGACATATCGAAAGAACGTGTAGTTTCGTGGTCACTTGGAAGGGTAAAGAAGCTACTCCAAAATTTGGTAGTTCAGTACTGAAGTACTCCTACGAACTGAACCTAGTTCCTCTCTACTGAAGTACTAAGTTTTTTAACGGTCAATTGCCGGCACACTGCTTGCAGAACGGCTCAAATCAGTGTGGACACTGTGTAGACTGTGTAGATCGGAACAAAAGTTAAATTTTAATCTATGGTAACCGCGGTTAGCTATGATGACATCTGGACGTTGAACATCTCAGTCCCCTCCGTGACTATGGGGTGCTATAAAGTGCTCGAAACGTCGGGTATTTAAAAAGTTAAATATACGCGATAAAATCCGTAAAAACTAGTATTATTTAAATGTGTAAGTGTTCGCGTAAATAGAAGAAATCGACCTCTCGTCTTGCTCTGCTTGCTGGGGGAGCCGCTGCTGGACCGCTTGGCCGGGCTCAGGCTGGAGCTGGTCTTGACGCTTTTGGAGGGGCTGCTGGCGCTGAGGCTGGTGTCGGAGGAGCTGCACTGTCCGTTAGTGTTGATGTTGTGCAGCCCGTGGCCGCTGTGCTGTATGGAGATCGGCAGTACGCCGGTCATGTTCACGTTGTTGATCGGTATCTGGCTCGAAGAGTGCCCGCCTGCGGGTTGGTGAACGGTAATGTTGATAATCGATTGTTTTCATACTGTTACAGCCTATCAAAAGACCACTGCTGAAAATAGACCTCTCTCTCTCTCTCTCTCTCTCTCCATTGAGTTATACAAAACTAGAGCAAACCACACTACCGCGCGTCGAAAAAGTGTAACCACTATCCAACCGCGACGACGTAGCTTTGAAATTACTAAACATTTTAAATAAAAATATATCTGTTTCACTTACATAAGCTGCAAAACAATACCGTCGCTAAGATTAGATAAAGATAGACACAACAAACACGCAATGGCGGGTTGTCGTGGCTTACCATATGAAATTTAACAAAAAATACGCAATAAGAGTTTTTTTAAGATGCAGTTAATTGTTTTTATTTTAAAAAAAGTATATTTTCTTATCAGGTGAATAGAAGTTAGCATAACTGATGAAATAAAACATATTTTTTATAAGTATTTTTATTGGACTAATAAATCAAACATTATAATATAGGTAATAAAATATATTTAATAGATCATTCATGAATAAACTAAAATAAGAATAATTAACTATTTTGTATGAAAGTTAAAACGCAGTTTTTATAATAATTTTCAAAATATTTAAAATCAAAGGTAACAAATTACTTTCTCCATTAATTATATAGTCTCCCGTTAATGAGGGATAATCACAAAGGCGGAAAAGTGGCAACATTTAACCTAAATCGCAGGATTCGATAATTTTATTTAATTATTTTAGGTTTTTACGTTTATATGAAAACATGAACTAAAACTTATGTGTGGAAAGTGATTCCGCTTGATTTATTATGTTTTTGTGACCCTGAATCGCATTTTTTCACTACCCATTTACCTATTTTTTGTCGCGGATCGTCCGGCTCAACTCTATCGGCGTCACATTGAACACCGAACAGACGTGTGCTAGGCATATGGCTGTGGCCATATGTGCAGTGGCAACGCTTTGGCGCCGTAATTACTAATCTAGTGTAATATATAAATCAATGCCTCTCTCGTACTCATTGTTATTTGTCATAGTTGCCATACTTGCCAGGGGCATGGAAATCGCAGTTTTTAATTTTATAGTTGTAACTAGGAAGACGCTGCTCCCCATCTCATGGTTTATATCCCTCTGTCGCCTCTTACGACAACCACGGAACGATACAGAGTAGGAGATATTCCCACATTGCCACTAATTATTTTCATATTCGATTATTAATCATATATCCAAATCCTACAAAATTATATTAGAGTAGGAGTAAGACTGTAGTTCGTTCACACAAAGTAAGGTGTTTCCAATTTATAGACAGACACAAGTGTATTCTACTATAGTTTACCTAGTGGTAAGCTTGGTCTTTACTTATAGTGAAGTGTATGTTATTACTTTTTTCAGATTTTGTAGCTGCTAGGATGACAAACCAGCACCGTTCACCTAATAAGTACCAGGGTTTTCCAACCTTTTTTGACCAAGGACCACTTTGATTTTTTTGTTGTTAGCAAGGACCACACAGTGAAAGAAAAAACTATGTTAACTAACTATAAATTATCATCACAACTTCTAACATTATTATGTGATAAACTGAAAATTATTTGTGTATTTATTGCAAAAGCTACGAGGTATTTTAAAATAACGAATATAATATTTAAAACGGTAGGCAAAGTATTTAAATTTTTCGCAGACCATATTTAAGCTCTTGTGCTCCACTACTGGTAGTCCACGGATCACTGGTTACTGTAATGGAATTCTTTATCTAAATTTTAAATTTTCTCTTGACTGCAAGTTTTGTGCAATAATCGGCTTTACATGTATTGCATGGGATGCATGCTTCCCTCAATGTAGTAACCAAAAATTATTACCATATGGATTGTGATGCGGAGTGTTCTGAACAGTGACACCCATTGACTCCTCGCCGTCGGAAGAGTCATCGGAAGAATCCCCAGTAAACGGCATTGATCTTATTTGACTGGCACGCTGTAAGAACAAATATATTTTTATCTTTACAATATAAAAGCAATATAAATTTATTCATCCTATCGATTGTCCACAGCTGAACATACGCCTCCCCTATAGATTTGCTCATAGAAAATCTCACGGCATCCGATAGTGGTATACTTTTAAGATATGCCAGATATAAATACACAGACCATCAGCGGAGAGCTGGGTCAAAGATGCGAGACATCTGGAAGATCGACAATCTGTCTGCTAAGCGTGGTGTTTACAGCAACAAAATATTCCTAAAGCTAGCAAAGCACTTCTGGACATGAAATTCTATGTTCAGAGATGCTTTGCTAGCTTCTGTATCATTTTTCTTTCTTATCACACTGCTACGGGCTTATAAAAAAAACAAAAAATAAGATGTGGAAGCATTATTATAACTATTACGTGACAACTTCAATACTGCAACTGCTGATAGGCCTCAAAATTCAAGAGTAACATTTTGTAGTCCCTTGCTATAAGCTAACACTTGGGTCTAGTTTAAAAATATATATTAATAATAACTCAATTTGCTAGAATATTTTTAAGAAACATATTTGTATTGCATGTTGCATGCCATTGCTACCTTTAATTAAGACGACAATTAGAAGAGACTTACCTGTTAGTATTTACATTGTGTTCATGTATGTCTTGTTGGTTGTCCCAATAAAATAAATAAATATATAGACAATGACCCATAAATATCAACAGAATGTCTCATACATTCTGTTTAGTAAATAAACTTAGACTATGATAATATTTGGTAAATCTATAGAGAACAATTTGGTAAAATAAGCTTTTGAATGGATGGTTAGTTAAAGAACTTACCCCTTTAACTGTAGCGTACACCGGTACAGATAAGTCCTGGTAACTTGTTGACTCATGCATGGGCCGAGGGCAAGGAGGAGGGCTCAGTTCCTCCTCTACTGATTGTTGGAGACCATCGTCCGCCACCTTGGATATCGAAATGGTAATAAGGAATGGTGAACACTTTTAAACCTAACAAAACCAAAGTATAAAAAATTTGGCGTGAGTGATAATACGCGTCGAATACACACAAATACACTTACGCACACACGTACGCAAGCTCACAGGTACACTCGCTTGTTTGCACGTACGTACGCACTCTCACTCGCACTCATTCTCGCTTGCTCGCACGCACATATTCACACTCGCACGGACGAACAGACAAAATATGGACCACATAATAAGGGCAAGTAAGTGTACGATACAACTTAGGGACCTACTGCTTTTTAAAAGGCCGGGAACGCACCTGCAATCCCCCTGGTGGTGCAGTTGTTCATGGTTAACAGTATTTACTTAACATCAAGTGAGAAGCATGCTTGTATGATAACATTGAGGCACTAGCTACATGGCCGTATGTTTTATGGTGTCTCTACCCGTTCATAGCTTACAGTTAATCATCTCGTTCACTCTAAAGTAGCCCTGGCTGCAATTGTGCCTAGAACCTTTTTGTTATAACAATTATATAATAAATGTGAGTTTTATGATACGGTTTGTCTAGACTCTAGAACAAAAATCATTTCGCTCTGAGTATGATATAAACGCAATGATTTTCACCTGATATATTTTTGCCTCCCAACTGGGGAAGCGATGTAACGGTGGTGTAGGGGGGCGAGGGTTTTCTGACGTGGAACTCTCCCCAGTAGAGGAACCACCGCGGCTGTTACCTTGAACCACGACATTCACTGCACCCTGCCAAGCTGGTGTGCGTTCTGTACAAAAAATATATTAATCTGTGTTATTTAAACTGCAGATAAAATAATAGTTGGTAAAGTCCCGGCCTAGTCCCAGAGCTTGGCACATGCCGCCTCTCATTTCTGAAAGGGCTCGTAATATTTTATCCTTTAGACATAAAGGTTTGCTCATGATGTTTTTATTTAGCACCATTAGATCATCATCATCATCATTACAACTCTTTTTAAGGTTCAGTGTTGAACAAAGGCCTCCACCAAGGAACGCCACAAAGCATGGTTAGATCAATCAGTACCTAAATTGCAATAAACAATTTCATTCAGATTTCATCAGCAGAGATCAAAGCCGGTTTACTCATGAGGACAAAAATGAAATTCTTTATTACCAGTAGATAAGGTCATCCGGTTCAAGTCTCACTCACTATAAAAAACATCGATACAACTATGCTGCTGTGTTATGTTGATATTCAATGCAAGTGTAGAGCTTCTCGATCAAGCTGACTTATTCATGATACAACCATAATACAGCTGCAGTGTGGCTCCATCAGGTAAAGAGGTTTCTTAGAGAACAATTTTGTTACTAGTTAACTTTGCACATACCTCTGCTTGGAGTATAAATTTCTGCGTAATCATGCGTAGTATCACCGTCCGTTGATGTATTAGGAGTTGTGGGCAATACTACTAAATTTTCAACAGCAGTCTGTAAAGAGGACAGAAGAAAGGATAATCAATTTTCGAGTTGAATACAAAAACAAAATAGGGTAAAAAGTAGTATAGACATATTTTATGATTTATTCAACTGTGAGAACTTATTTCTTTCATAGGTTCCATGTTTGTGTGGGACTTAAACAAATAAAAAAATGTATCACCTGTTATTTACTAATAGGATATTAAGTTAGTGACTGTGTAGGCGGTGAGCTAGTCACCTATCACTTCTTTCATAATTTAATTTATAATTTTCAATCTATACCTATATTTTTTTGGCTTAACATGGCAATTAGCTCGCTGCTCTTTGGAATCTGCTTAACCCCTATAATGTGGCTAAACACTTAAAACAACTTCGGACGTGACTAAGTTGAAAAACGTACTGCTAAATCGTCGGCGAGTAAGCTGGCCGTCGTTCGCTCGTCCATTGTTCGGTTCATCGTGTTCAAAGCCACCTGATTTGATGCGGTCACGTTGTTTTGCGTCAAGTTGGTTGCGCCTATTGAGAGATTGCGCCTGTGTCGCACCGGAGTACTGTAGTGCGGCTCTGAAGAAGTCAGTGGGAGCTGAGAAAGGCCAAGGGATTTGGATTAATTTTTAGTTATATAAAAGCTTACAATAATTCCTAAGAAATTAAAAACCAACTAGTGATTTCTAATTTTCGACGAAATAAAGAACTATTTCTCATTTAATTGTTTTTTAAGAAATATTTTACATGTTTTTATCACAGAGTAATAATATATTTTTATCACAGAGAGATTGACAGAGGTTTTTTATATGTTTGGTATTATGACTGCAAATTACGCTTGCAAAGTATGGCGATTATCATAAATCCTCCCCAAGTATGGAAGAGACTCAGTTTGGAGTTTTAAATGCTAAAGTTACAGTTTATATACATCCCACTGGTGGCACAGGCCTCCTCTCATTTCACATAGGGTTTTAGGAAAGGATTTTATATTTATTAAGTATATATTTTTATTTTATATTTATTGTATCTGTGCCCCATTTTTTACATAAACACACATAAACATACACACTCACGCCTGTCACCCAGAGGGGTAGGCAGAGACTACAGACTTCCATTTGGCACGATCCTGACACACCTCTCTCGCCTCCTTCACATCCATACACCTACGCATACATGCTCGTCGGTTAAGGGTACTCCTAATTTGGCCCGTTTTCAATAAATCGCCAATTTGGTCGATAAATTTTCGCCTAGGACGTCCCTTTCCGACTCTGCCATTCACTTCTGCAACATACATTTTCTTTGTCACTCTTTCCTCATTCATTCTTTCCACATGACCAAACCACCGAAGCATTCCTTTCTTAATCCTGGTCACAACATCATCTTGCAAACCACACTCTTCTCTTATTACACAATTTCTTACCCTGTCATTAAGATTCAGCCCTAACATACTCCTTAACGACCGCATTTCTACTGCGTTCATTCTACTCTCGTGCTTCTTCTGCCACACCCAACTTTCACTACCATACGTTAAAGTAGGGACCAACACAGCATTGTGAATTGCCATACGTGCCTTTTTCGACACATTTTGACTCTTCACAATAGAGTTTTTTAATCAATACATTGAGGTCTTTAGATCTAAACTATGAGCTCTATGTAGTGTAAGTTGCAAATATATTTCATCCTTTTCAATTAAAATACTAAACAGCTATGAAAATATAATAAAAGTGAGCGCAAAATAAAAACAATTATTGCCTATTATTCAAAAATGTGTATGTAATTCCTAAAATAAAATGTTAATGATTAATGAAGATAATGTTAATAGGATTCTCACAATTCTGAAATTGTTTATGTTAGGTTAATAATTCGGATTGTTAACAGATTATTGTTTTTGGATATTTCACATGTGTTCATCTACAATTAGTTGTGCCGTATGGAAAATTTGTGCGATGGGGTAACAAATGTTGATAAACTTTGAATTAATTGAAAAATTTACTCAAACTTTTTTTCAAATTAACTGAAAAATTAGTGACTATAAATACAAATGTAAATGAAACAGTTTATGCAAAAAGAAACTTAAATAGGTGCAGAGAACATATAAAAATTATTAAACGTGAAAATGCTGGCAACAAAAACATGTAGCACCCTACTGGCAACACCAATATATCCAACTGCTACCTGAGGCCCCTCAAGGCTTTCTGATCGACGTCTGTTCGCAGCCAATAGGCTGGAGGAAGTCCTGGAACCTTCCTCAGTCCTCACTTCAAGGGAAAGACTAGCTCGAGTCGGTAGAAACTGGGGAGTGAATATTTTATATAATTCCCTGTCACCTCAATATAGTAATTTATAAATAAATATATCAGTTAGATTTTCATATCCAATTGAAATGACAATTTTATAGATAAAAATAAATCAACTACGCAAATGTGTAACTGTGGACATCATAATATCATTGTTGGAATCTAAGAATTTATTATACTGTATTTTATTATTTTATCACAATATTGAACCTAAAGACGACAAGAGATAGGTAAAGATTACTGAAGAAAGAGCCCTATAAATTAAAATGCAATGAGGTAGATAGATTATGCATCAATAACATTACTTCAAAATTAAATTGGATTATAAATTGGAATTGAAGAAAAAATATTTGTATGAAAATATAAAGAAATTTGAGGTTGAAATATGCATAAACATACATATAACATTACATACATACAATTTCCAATACATTTTCTAAGTATACGATTTAAAGTAGGTACATATTTTTAATTACCTGAGATTCTAACTAAAATAAAGATTTTAAAATTTAAGAAAATTAATATATTAACTTTGGCCTTTCAATACATTTATGAAAATGTAAATGTACGTATACAAAAATAAGTGATATTCATTCTGTGAATACTAGGAACAGTCACAAGTTAGTAGTACCAGTTACTCGACTCTACCGAGTCAGTAATTCATTCTTAGGGTGATGTTTACAAAATTTGACCTGCACAAAGTTCAAAAACTTAACTAAACTAAGTTTGTACTAAACGCGTTATTAAAATATTAAGGAATTTATGGATGATAATAACCCCTGGAATAGGTAATCGCTACCAAGCTATTTCTAATTTGCTATGTATTGTTAATTGTAACATACATGATTGTAAGCTGTTTTTTTTTTAAAAAAAAGTCCTACTGGGTTTCTTGCTGGTTCTTCCCAGGACAAAGGTTTTTTTCTGGAACCAGTAGTAAATTAAAAAAAATTGACTTTCAATAAGTATCATTTATAATCTATGTAAGTTTCTGTTTATGTTTTTGTTAACATTTTTTCCAATACAATAAAAATTTTGTTGTGAGAGTATTTGTCAGAAATTATAAATTAAATGAAAAATACAAAATTATCTTTTTTGCTCTAATTTAAAATTTTGTCAAAATAAATATTGATGTGTCCTTTTTTTATCTGCTACGACTTCAAAGTAGGTTCCTCTGTCTTTAGATGAAATGGCCAAATTCAACAACTATTCTCTATTTAGTCACTTTTGGGGGCCTATCATTGAGCACTTTTTTTCAAAAATTAAAATGAATAATCTTACTATCCAGTGGACTGTAAGCTCGCTTGTAATCCTTATTCTATATTAAAGTATAGTGTATGACAGTCATCTTCCATACATAAAATATACACATATTGAAAAGTCAGTAACAAGCCAACAACTATAAATTTAGTTAACACTTACATTACAATTTCTGCTCCCTTGAGTGGCAATATGATTTCTAAGGAGCTCCAATTGCTGATTACAGCGGTCGTTTTGTTCTCTCAACAGCTGATTTTGCTGTTCAAGCTCTCGGAGCTTATTGGTTACCCACTCTTTAATACGAGCGGCCTTTGCTTCTACTTGTTTCGCGTCTTGGAGTCGCAGCTGCTTCTATAAAAATAAATTTGGTTATACCATATGGGACTTACGAAAAATAATTAACAATATGTACTTATATCAAAGTGGCCGTGCAGTGGTGGTGTAAGAATATTCACTACTCCATATCATCCCAAGGGAGTTGTAAAAGGCGAGAAAGGGAAACAAATCAGAAGATTCTACAAATAAAAACAAAAAATGTGGTTGCTAACCTGTCACTGCAAAGCGTGGCAACTATGGCAAATATCTCTCTTATGAGACAATCTGTTAGGGAGGCCTGTGTTCAATGGTGAACTTAAGATTAGGTAATTTAGTAAAGCCCTAGCACGAAAGTACGACGTAAATAAACTTTGAATCCAAAATACTCATTAAAGTTTCTTTAAAAATAATTATTTCTTACCGTGACTATGGGTGCTGGAAAGCACCCAAAACGTCGGGTATTAAAAATAACATAAATAAACACGATAAAATCCGTAAAAGTAGTTTTAATCAATAAAAATAATTAATTTCTACTTCAAGTAAAAAATAAATAATATAAACTTCACGCAAACATAACTGCTACCTAATTAATTTGTAAATCTAAGTTATAACAAAGGCATTTATTAAAAACTATTTTTAACTGGAGAAAACACGTTTTAACTAAAATTTGATTTTAACTATAACATAGGAATACATTTTATAAATAAATAGGTATGCAATTCCTTGACTGACCATTTGTTGTTTAGTTTGCGATGAAAGTTTTACAGTTTCAACTAACTTGTTAATCTCGGTAAACTCTTTGGCCGTTTAAGATGGCTCTTTAAAGCGGTAGTTGTGCAGCCTTTTCCCGAGTATATTTTGTTACATAATTTACATCTGGCTGCTTAATCATCAATCTCAAAATAATAGTTCCAAACAGGACTTGTTTTTGGTTGCAATTAAATTACACACACGACTTAAATTTCTAATTAACTAAAAATACAATAAATCTATTTATGTGAATGCGTCGCTGAGGTCTTGCAGAAACAGAAGCAGAAACGGAAGTTAAAAACCATGCAGAACTTCCGCAGTTGTGGAAACAAAATCGGTGTTCTGTTGCATCATTACTTAAGATAGGCTATATCGGTAACTCATATTACATGCTTTATACTCTTATTAGCCTAATCTATATGTTTCTACGTATATATGAATGTGATGGAACTTTATAATTTACTTTTCACTTCAAGAGATCTGAGTAATTTAAAATAGTGCAAATATATTAAGAACTAATGACAATACAATAACAGCTAATCATTCTTTTTTATTTGTAAAAAATATGATATAGCATATAAAATATGATATGATGATAGATAAATAATATTTAAAATAATGTGTTGTGGATGTTTCAAAATTAATTCCTTTCCAACACTATACTACTGATGTATGTAAGATATTGCTATGAACTTATTGGTAACAAATAAAATACAAAATTAACAAATTCATTTCATTGCCCTTACATCTAAATTATCTCAAAGTGAATTTTAGCTATAATTTCTGTTAAATAACAATATTAGGCGTTGAAGGAGCAGGCTTCAAAATATTATTAAGTAACAGTAGCATATTCTTATAATGTTATGTGGGGTTCTTGTCAGCAAAATGTTTACTGTAGAAACTCTTTGTGATTCTAATTCATTTTATTGTAAAAGATTAAGTTTATAAATTACATGGTAGACCCATGCTGCAACTATATTATGGTTGTAGCACAAATGGGTCACCTCAACCAGGAAACGACCACACTCTCACAGAATCCCAGCAAAAAATAGCAGCTTAATGCTGCCGTGTTTCCTATGGTCAGTAGGGAACCAAAGACACCTGTTACTGTCTTTCACTATCTTAGTCCTCAGGGGTGAGAATACATCCGCATTTTGGTTATTAATTGAGGATAACTGTAAATGTCTATGGGACACAGCATCCACTTACCATCAAGTGGACTATGTGCTCGTTTGTCACCCTTATTCTATAAAAAAAGCTTTTAATTTGCTGCATAAAAATATACTTTAGTAACAATGAATAATTTATCACATCACTTACAAATGATAAAATCCGTAAAATTAGTCTCATTCAATGATTTTTGTGTCACAATGTTGTAAGCAATACAGGATTCTCATTTGAACAGCATTTATGTTTCTTGAAAATAACCAATTAGAATTTAAGCATAAAGTATGTGATCGTAATTAGAGTCACGAATTTTAAGCATATTTAAATTAGTAAGCAACATTTTTATTTATGTAATATGTAATTCATAACGGAAAAGTTTTGATTTTAATTTTTTAAATGAATTTGTCGTTTCTCTCTAAATACGGTATATTTTATACAAATATCACCCATTCTCAGTCTCATACTCAGTCATTTAGAGTAAAAAACAAAAAATAAATCATATTATGTACTTCTAAAACTTTCTACAAAGATCGAAGGAATCTTTTTAAATTAAGCTTTACCTGCATTTTGTTTTCTTTTGTATCACATTCTTTCTAGCAAGTCTCACTTCAAAATGTTTATAATTATTAAATAAAAGGTATGTTAATTCAGAAAACCTACTACTATTTACATTTTAGTAGATAATATTAATATAACATAGTTCAAAAACTGAAATCGTAAACAAAGATCAGACGTCAAATGAGATTCTAATAAATGACCAAAGAGTAGAGTAATATATACAGAAATAAATGACCATAGATATGTAGCGAACTATAAATGAGAAATGACATTGACTATGGAGTGTAGAAGTAAGGAGCACCAACTCCCATAGTAGAATAGTTGAAAAAGTGGCCATCTATAGTAAATAACAGTTCAAAAACTCTCCACAACAGCGCTGGAGTAGCTACTGGGATGAAATGAACTTAGCAGTTGTCGACGGTTTGAAGTGTGCTGCTAAACTGTTCAGTAGCTCTAAAATCTAAAATAATTTTATTTAGTAAATATAACCTCGAAAAAGTCGTCTATCCCACAAATATTTTTCGGCACATTCTTTAAAATTTTGCCCGTAACTATAGTGGCGCCACCCTTTTTAACGGTTTTCTATGGACACTTTTTAATACTCACTACTCAGTCTGTACTCCTTACTTCTACACTCCATAAAAACCGATTTACACTTCGACAAGTACAGTAGCGAGTTAACTTGCGAACCTGGCGAGTTAAGTTTGAACCTCGTTTGAACGGCAATAAGCGAGTTAAGTAGCAAGTTAACGATTAAGTTGAACGGGATAGTCGGCCGAGCTATTTTTCGGCGAGTTAAGTGCGAAGTACTGTCCTCCCGCGCGTCTCCCGCCACCCGCAACTAAACTCGCCGTTCGTGGAAACGAGCGAGTTTAGTTCAGTGCATAAGTTGACAGGACGCAACGTTTGCGCGCCAAAACGTACAATTGTACTTTCATAAATAAACTTGCCACAAAGTTTGTACGATACTGATTATTGAATATTTATACGTTTTATATTGAGTTTTAATTAAAATGGACGGTAGATATCACGTATAAATTTTAATAAAAATCACGTATTAATTTTTATTAAAAACTTCTTTAACAACAACCATTAATACTTCTCTGACTGGATGATTGTCTTGACCAAGTCTTGACGTAATCCTAGGATTACTTAAACGAAAACCATAAAAATTCTGTAGTCTTGAAACGTCGTACTCTAACAAACTCTATGAACTAATGTCCTTAACTAAACTCGCCACGAAGACATTGTTTGAACCCTACTGCCCACTTAATCGTTCACTGTCAACTGCCTTATAACTAAACTCGCTACTGTATTTGTCGAAGTGTAAATCGATCTTAACGTTGACGCTTGACGCCACTTGACGCTTGAAGCTTGACTTGACGTTACTATTGTGACGTAGGTACCTACGATGGTAACGAGGAATATTCTGAAATTTCGTACTAGAAAAATTACACTTTAATATATCTTATAGTATCGTTAATATAGACATTGTTTGAACCCTACTGCCCACTTAATCGTTCACTGTCAACTGCCTTATAACTAAACTCGCTACTGTATTTGTCGAAGTGTAAATCGATCTTAACGTTGACGCTTGACGCCACTTGACGCTTGAAGCTTGACTTGACGTTACTATTGTGACGTAGGTACCTACGATGGTAACGAGGAATAACGAGGAATATTCTGAAATTTCGTACTAGAAAAATTACACTTTAATATATCTTATAGTATCGTTAATATTACAGTGACAGTGTAACAGCGAAAACGGTTATGGTAACTCTTTTAGAAGCGTTCAACTAGTGCTTGTTATAGTTACCAAATAGCTAAATACAATGATTTCAAAAGGAAGGATAGGCCCATCTAAATATTTTACTCATAACTTTTTCATACAAGAAAAAATAGCGCATCTGTCATAATACAAACGTCATATCAAAATACGACGCAACCAGGGTCCGATTTCGTAGTATAATTATCATAATTGTACCATTATTTCATAGTTTATAGTATATAGTATCGTAATAATACTAAGCGAAAATACCATAATTTTACCTGAAGGTCGACTTGTATTAATTGGGTCCTTTGACATTTTAATATTAACCCTACGATATCGAGAATTTCTGTATTGTACATGAGTACCGCGTTTTTTTTAATAAAATTAGAATTAGATCCCTTTCTGGTCAATCGATGCATTTATGTTGCATCCTTGATACAACTATAATGAGGGGCTACCACGATAAAAACTCTATGCTCCAGAAGCAATCGGTTCGAAAACAGAATTTCAAAATATTTTATGAATCAGATTTTCAAATTCAATTAAGCAGATATGGTCTCTTTTGTACTCTTTTTGAATATAAAATATGTATATTAGGTACTAATATTCAAAATTTAACTTATACTAAGTTCCTTCGACAAAAATTAAACAGAAATAAAAATAAAACCGTCAAACGAAACGTATTGATAAACTAGATGTGTGACACAAAAATCCCGGCACATGGGAAAATAGAAACATGAAACGCCAAACGTGATATAATTTTTTTTAAATTAGTACAATTTTATTTTCC